TGCTACAGGCTGAAGATAGAGGTTATAGACAAGGGCAAAAGGATGCAGTCAACCTTTATATTGATAGATACCTCCAGAAATTCAGAAGATTTATGGAAAGATTAACAAGAAAAACTGATGAGAACTTTATTTATGAAGGTGATCGATTACAGGAGAAGACAGTAACCAAGGCCGAAGCCTCCCAAAGCCGAAGCCCCAAAAGATAGAGATGTTAAGTCTCGTATCTTCCCAAGTCCCAAGACTATCCGTCTAAAAGCCTGCCTTATGCCTTCCTCCCCTTTTCTATTTATAGTATAAGCCCTCTTAGTATTCTTTATAATAATAGGCCCAAAACTACCAGGCCCACTAAACAGTATCTATTCTTCTAGTATTCATATTAGAATTATTATCTATGATTAATCTAAAAGGTAGATCCCTATCATATATCTTTTGTGCAAAGGATGCCTTGGATCAATATGATGCTGTTCAGGAAATGAAGGTTGAAATCATCCCTTACCTTGGGGGAAATGCTGAAATTGAAGAGAAAGAAATGAGTGTTCAAATGGTTTCTAAAAGTGTTGATGGTGAACCTGGTGAAGTTCAATTTCAAATAGATACTGCAGTTCAATGTCAGATTAACACTTCCACGCCTTATCCTGTTGATATTGGAGGGTATCCAATGGTAGAAGAGTTGATGATGGTTGCTGATATGGCAGTCTCTGAAAAGAGACTGAACAAGTATCCTACCTACTCTCTATTGAGGTGTCATCCCAGCTCAATCAATGAGTTGTTGATAGTTATGAAGGAAGGTAGCTTATTTCAGAAATTGAAATGGCCAAGAGATGATGAGTTGAAAACTCTCATGCTTCAAGCTTATTTGGAAAGGGTGGCAGCTGGAGATTCTGAGGTTACAATTTCAAGGAGTATGGCAAATGATTTCCTCTATCTCGGTTTCATTCCTAAAAGAACTGTCGTACAATCCTTTGGTGAGGGAAGTGGACAATTCCAGGATATCCAGGCTAAAAATCAGTTATATGATGATATGTACGAGTTCAACTTATCTCTTTCTCATGACTATGTATTGGTGATACGAGCTTTAGGATTACTTGAAGGAGCTGCAAATGTATGAGATCCGGAATTCAAAGTGGTGGAGAGTGCATATCCATGTGTGATGGGAGGGTGCATATCTAGGAGACTGTTGAGAAAGCTTAGCATCTATAATGATGAATCACTCAGGTGGAATCTGCTGGAAGGACGGGTTGCAACACTATCAAAACATATAACTGCTGCACATGGAGAAGCACAACACAAAGAAACATTTGTCGTTATTGAGTGCTTTACAGCCACTGAAGAGACTGCGACTTCACTAGACTTATCTTTGGCTGCAGAAAAATTTGTGAGGTGGGGGAACGAAGTACAGAATATCCTGGTTCAGAAATCCGGGAGATATGGGGAAGGAAGAGGCTCCAGGATGAAGATGAAGTTCAAGATCAAGGCTGTGTCCTATTACCCACCTTGAGGACAAGGTGGTTTTTCAAGGGAGGAGATATGATAGGGCCCTGGGCTGTAGAGAATAATGATAATAATAGTGATAGATTGATATTGAATAAGTTTGGTATTGTATAAATAAGTATTCTGGGCCATGTCATATAATATTGGGCTGACCCATAAGTTAGTATAAATAATAGAAAGGAGGGGGAAATAAGGAGGCTGATTTTAGATTTGGGAATTTGGGTTCTGGAGAGTTGAGTGCCTCTCGAAGTGCCTCATTTGTATCGTCTTCTTCGTTTCTGCCTTTTACCGCAATATTACTGTTCAATTTACGGTTACAGAATTGGAGATTCTATCACACATTCAGCTAACACCCTCCACTATAAGTCTAGTGAGTGAGTGAGTGAGTGAGTGAGTGAGTGAGTGAGTGAGTGAGTGAGTGAGTGAGTGAGTGAGTGAGTGAGTGAGTGAGTGAGTGAGTGAGTGAGTGAGTGAGTGAGTGAGTGAGTGAGTGAGTGAGTGAGTGAGTGAGTGAGTGAGTGAGTGAGTGAGTGAGTGAGTGAGTGAGTGAGTGAGTGAGTGAGTGAGTGAGTGAGTGAGTGAGTGAGTGAGTGAGTGAGTGAGTGAGTGAGTGAGTGAGTGAGTGAGTGAGTGAGTGAGTGAGTGAGTGAGTGAGTGAGTGAGTGAGTGAGTGAGTGAGTGAGTGAGTGAGTGAGTGAGTGAGTGAGTGAGTGAGTGAGTGAGTGAGTGAGTGAGTGAGTGAGTGAGTGAGTGAGTGAGTGAGTGAGTGAGTGAGTGAGTGAGTGAGTGAGTGAGTGAGTGAGTGAGTGAGTGAGTGAGTGAGTGAGTGAGTGAGTGAGTGAGTGAGTGAGTGAGTGAGTGAGTGAGTGAGTGAGTGAGTGAGTGAGTGAGTGAGTGAGTGAGTGAGTGAGTGAGTGAGTGAGTGAGTGAGTGAGTGAGTGAGTGAGTGAGTGAGTGAGTGAGTGAGTGAGTGAGTGAGTGAGTGAGTGAGTGAGTGAGTGAGTGAGTGAGTGAGTGAGTGAGTGAGTGAGTGAGTGAGTGAGTGAGTGAGTGAGTGAGTGAGTGAGTGAGTGAGTGAGTGAGTGAGTGAGTGAGTGAGTGAGTGAGTGAGTGAGTGAGTGAGTGAGTGAGTGAGTGAGTGAGTGAGTGAGTGAGTGAGTGAGTGAGTGAGTGAGTGAGTGAGTGAGTGAGTGAGTGAGTGAGTGAGTGAGTGAGTGAGTGAGTGAGTGAGTGAGTGAGTGAGTGAGTGAGTGAGTGAGTGAGTGAGTGAGTGAGTGAGTGAGTGAGTGAGTGAGTGAGTGAGTGAGTGAGTGAGTGAGTGAGTGAGTGAGTGAGTGAGTGAGTGAGTGAGTGAGTGAGTGAGTGAGTGAGTGAGTGAGTGAGTGAGTGAGTGAGTGAGTGAGTGAGTGAGTGAGTGAGTGAGTGAGTGAGTGAGTGAGTGAGTGAGTGAGTGAGTGAGTGAGTGAGTGAGTGAGTGAGTGAGTGAGTGAGTGAGTGAGTGAGTGAGTGAGTGAGTGAGTGAGTGAGTGAGTGAGTGAGTGAGTGAGTGAGTGAGTGAGTGAGTGAGTGAGTGAGTGAGTGAGTGAGTGAGTGAGTGAGTGAGTGAGTGAGTGAGTGAGTGAGTGAGTGAGTGAGTGAGTGAGTGAGTGAGTGAGTGAGTGAGTGAGTGAGTGAGTGAGTGAGTGAGTGAGTGAGTGAGTGAGTGAGTGAGTGAGTGAGTGAGTGAGTGAGTGAGTGAGTGAGTGAGTGAGTGAGTGAGTGAGTGAGTGAGTGAGTGAGTGAGTGAGTGAGTGAGTGAGTGAGTGAGTGAGTGAGTGAGTGAGTGAGTGAGTGAGTGAGTGAGTGAGTGAGTGAGTGAGTGAGTGAGTGAGTGAGTGAGTGAGTGAGTGAGTGAGTGAGTGAGTGAGTGAGTGAGTGAGTGAGTGAGTGAGTGAGTGAGTGAGTGAGTGAGTGAGTGAGTGAGTGAGTGAGTGAGTGAGTGAGTGAGTGAGTGAGTGAGTGAGTGAGTGAGTGAGTGAGTGAGTGAGTGAGTGAGTGAGTGAGTGAGTGAGTGAGTGAGTGAGTGAGTGAGTGAGTGAGTGAGTGAGTGAGTGAGTGAGTGAGTGAGTGAGTGAGTGAGTGAGTGAGTGAGTGAGTGAGTGAGTGAGTGAGTGAGTGAGTGAGTGAGTGAGTGAGTGAGTGAGTGAGTGAGTGAGTGAGTGAGTGAGTGAGTGAGTGAGTGAGTGAGTGAGTGAGTGAGTGAGTGAGTGAGTGAGTGAGTGAGTGAGTGAGTGAGTGAGTGAGTGAGTGAGTGAGTGAGTGAGTGAGTGAGTGAGTGAGTGAGTGAGTGAGTGAGTGAGTGAGTGAGTGAGTGAGTGAGTGAGTGAGTGAGTGAGTGAGTGAGTGAGTGAGTGAGTGAGTGAGTGAGTGAGTGAGTGAGTGAGTGAGTGAGTGAGTGAGTGAGTGAGTGAGTGAGTGAGTGAGTGAGTGAGTGAGTGAGTGAGTGAGTGAGTGAGTGAGTGAGTGAGTGAGTGAGTGAGTGAGTGAGTGAGTGAGTGAGTGAGTGAGTGAGTGAGTGAGTGAGTGAGTGAGTGAGTGAGTGAGTGAGTGAGTGAGTGAGTGAGTGAGTGAATGAATGAATGAATGAATGAATGAATGAATGAATGAATGAATGAATGAATGAATGAATGAATGAATGAATGAATGAATGAATGAATGAATGAATGAATGAATGAATGAATGAATGAATGAATGAATGAATGAATGAATGAATGAATGAATGAATGAATGAATGAATGAATGAATGAATGAATGAATGAATGAATGAATGAATGAATGAATGAATGAATGAATGAATGAATGAATGAATGAATGAATGAATGAATGAATGAATGAATGAATGAATGAATGAATGAATGAATGAATGAATGAATGAATGAATGAATGAATGAATGAATGAATGAATGAATGAATGAATGAATGAATGAATGAATGAATGAATGAATGAATGAATGAATGAATGAATGAATGAATGAATGAATGAATGAATGAATGAATGAATGAATGAATGAATGAATGAATGAATGAATGAATGAATGAATGAATGAATGAATGAATGAATGAATGAATGAATGAATGAATGAATGAATGAATGAATGAATGAATGAATGAATGAATGAATGAATGAATGAATGAATGAATGAATGAATGAATGAATGAATGAATGAATGAATGAATGAATGAATGAATGAATGAATGAATGAATGAATGAATGAATGAATGAATGAATGAATGAATGAATGAATGAATGAATGAATGAATGAATGAATGAATGAATGAATGAATGAATGAATGAATGAATGAATGAATGAATGAATGAATGAATGAATGAATGAATGAATGAATGAATGAATGAATGAATGAACAAATAAATAAATTAATTAATTAATTAATTAATTAATTAATTAATTAATAAATATGAGATTAACACATGTTATTCCAACCATTAAAGAAGCACATGGAAAACATACCTTGTAAAGACTTAGGACTTCCGTGGTGAGCTTTGTAGCATCATACCACGCATGTCTATTAACCACTTGAGTTATTTCAGTTCGCAAAAGAGGCCCGACTAAGTGCTTTTTCCCAAGCGACGTGCGCAACAAAATTCTTGCAAAGCCAGGGACCAGTTCTCTTGTCAAGCTCACACTCAGCAATACCACCCCCTTGATGATAACCTATATGCATAATAAAGGGAAAAGGGGCAAAAAGCCCCCTAAACTTGTCAACAAAAGGTATCTATGCCCCTGAACTTTTTTTTTGGACAAAAATCTTTAAAATCCCACATGAGAGGGCAATTGCCCCCTTTATTCACGTGAACCACGTTAGCAAAACTACCAACCGTTAAGTTGCTCATTTCAATTAATTTTATTTATTATTTATTAACTAACTTTGTAAATTAGTTGAAATATATCAAATACTACGTATTAATAAAACGATTAGTAAAGAATTGTTTCATATTATGATTAGATCCCACTTTATATGATCCTAAAAAGAGGGCAACAACCCCCCATTATTTTGACGGTGAACCCATTTGATCCAAATTTGACGGTAAACCTAGGTGAAGTTGTTCCTTTCGATTTTAATTGTATTTCTTTACTAATTTAGTAATTTGTAATTAGTTGAATCATACATTGTATAAAGTTTAAACAAAAGGATTCGATTAAAAATACAAAACAAACCATAAAAATGATTAATTATCAAAAAGCTATTACCAATTTAAATTCAATCTAATTATACAATCTCAATTTTAATAATCGCACTTCTCCCTCTTATCTATAAATTCTAATCTACTACTCAATTATTCTACTCTCAATTGCATTTTTTGAGATGTTCATTTGATTCCACGATTTGTTCAAGGCCGGCCATAGAAATTGAAAAGTTAACATAACACCGGACCGCCACTTCATAGAGGAAACAATAATTGACGCTGTCAGGAGTTCTGACGATTAGGAAATGTATTTAAACTATTCTCAATTGTAAATCATAAATGTCTAATACTCTAAGTCAATTTAGAGTTTCTAATAAATCTACATTTCATGTTTAATGTTTAGCATTTGTTATTTATATTACTAAATTTAAACAAAAAATCAAAACAGTGTGCCCGAACTGGCCCGGGACTGGACCCGTGACCCATAAATTCCGGGCATCATCATTCACGAATCGGGACCAGCCGCTCCATGACTAGAACCGAGACCGCACCAGGACCAGCCGGTCCGAGACTTGGACAGGAATCGGGACCAGGCCGATCGAGATCAGGTTGCCCCTAGGCCAGATGTAGTAATACAAAGAAAAAGTCAGATAAAAAGGCTAAAATAGCTGGCTTGAAACAATTTAAACCAATTTAATAAGAAAAAAAATTTGAACTTCATTTATTTTGATTATTAAAAATTCAGCTAAAATAGTTTGTTCAAAATAGTTTGAAAAAAAATGGCTGATAAGTCGAACCATATTCAACCCAACGGGTTTTATGTGGTAAAAATAAGGTAAAAATTATGTGACAACACAAAAATAGTAAATTCATACGGAGTATTTCTTAATATTTATATCAAAATATAAAGTGTTTTGAAGGACCCTAATTCGTTTTTATCACATCAAGTGGGATCTAATCATAATATCAAACAATTCTTTCCTAATCGTTTTTATTCATATTTGATAAATTTCAACTATTTTACAAAGTTAGTTAATAAATAATAAATAAAATTAATTGAAATGAGCAACTTAACGGTTGCTAGTTCTGTTAACTTGGTTCACGTGAATAAAGGGGGAAATTGCCCTCTCATGTGGGATTTTAAAGATTTTTGTCCAAAAACAAAGTTCAAGGGCATACCCTTTGTTGACAAGTTTAGGGGGCTTTTTGCCCCTTTTCCCCATAATAAATGCCTAAGAATCCATCCAAATAGATTAGCATAATTTGTTGATATGACTACAACCTATCAAGGGTGTAGCGAAGTAAATAATTCAGTAACTTATATGCCGGCAATCCAATAAAATAATTAAATTTGAAATAGTGGGAGGTGGAGTCCAGGAAAATAAGATATCTTTTATTGTTGAATAGCTTTTAAATTCATTCTTATAAATTAGATTCTCAACAAGTCTCACAAAAAATCTCAACAACACTTCTCATTTTACGAACATTTTCAACAAAATCTATTGATTAATATATATATATATATATAACCTAAAAGCAACAAGGGTGGTAACTCACATTAATTGAGCCCATGGATGACTGGACTCTTTGAGCAGCCTTTAGTGCTAGCAACCCTCCATCATCATGGCCAACCAGTATAACAGAGGAGAACCCCATTTCGAGACAGAAAGAAAGAAGCAGATCTACCTGAAACATAAACACCGCAAGTATCTAATCAAAACCTCAAAAATCATAAATATAATGAACAACTAAAAATCCACGGTGGGTGAGGTAAGAGACAATACTAAGCTCCCCAGCTTCCAATAGGGCCTATTCGGCACATCAGTGGCAAAGTTAAGCCTCATATAGTCCTTCTCTAGTATCTTCATATAATAATTTGTTGCATTACATATGTCGATACCCAAACAAGCTTAAATCATCATGACAAACCTTACCTTACCTTACCATAAGAGTTACTAGGCTCCCCTGTCGAATGAATGAAGAATTATGAGACCTTGGGGGTGTTTGGCAATTGGTAGTTGGCTGTTGCTGATTCTGTTGGCTGATTAGTGACAGCGGATTCTGTTGGCTGGTTTGATTAGCTGATAGTGATAGCTATTTATAAAACAGTGTTTGGTTAAACGACTGTTTACATATTTTGCTAATAATTTTTACAAATTTGCTAATAATCCTTTAAAAAACTAAACATATTAATTGATGTCCTTAAGAGTAATTTAACAAATTATCAGCCGATTGTAAACAGTCGTTTAATCAAACCAGCCGACTGTTAACAAAACAGTGTTTTGTAAACGACTGTTTACAATCGGCTGATACAAATTTTTGATAGTGATAGCTATTTATAAAACAGTGTTTTGTTAACTACTTTATATATGTTTGCCAAAAAAACGATTAAATTTTGCTAATAATTTTTCTACAACTACTTAACCCGTTTTAATTCAACAAAAATTAAATTTATTAACACAAGTTACAACGATTGACATGTGCTATGACATGTTTGATTTGCTGTTTTAAAAGGACAGGTTTTATTTATTTCAGAATTACTGATTTGCAAATGAAAAAATAAAAGTGAAGATAGAAGCACGATAGCTTGTTATAAGGAGAAGTACGTGCGCTTGGTCCAGCTGTATTTTTTTGTTGACGAGCACTAATAGGAGTAATAGGAGCAGCGTGGGCAAAATAAGAATTTGTCATAGATATTAAACGGCCGACCATCGAAACGCCATGTTTATCAGCTTTTCTAATTTTGGCTGTTTGAGATAAAAAGCCAAGTGAAAAAACTAATTAACCAAACACCCCTATTAGCTGTTTATCTGGTCATAAAGCCAAATAATGGTCAAATCAGCCGAAAAATGGCTAATAGGCCATTAACCAAACACCCCCCTTAAGCATTTCTAAAGTGGATCAAATATGTGGCAGTCAAACAACTTCTAATTCCACATGCTATCGAAAAGTGTAGAAAATGTTATACTATTGTAGAAAATGTTACATGATTTAATTTGGTGTACATACTTAGCCGAATAGATTAGAACACGTGTTGTTATTTAGAGATAAGCTCGCAGTAATCAAGATCCTATTTTTTAGGATCTAAATTAGCTGATTAATTGTTTGTACATCTGTATAAATATTCTGGCCGATTGGCATAATCAATCAAGGAGGTTTTATTCCTAAAACCTACATGGTATCAGAGCCTTGAATTTACACATTCAAATGGTGGAATTCGAACACTCTGACTCCTCTCTCCATTCACATACCAGTAACCCCCATATTAGCTCCATGGCAAATTATCAGGCCTCAGTTAATTCATCTATGCTCATCACTGGACATAGATTGAATGGGAGAAATTACCTAGAGTGGTCACAATCTGTCAAATTAGCAATTGATGGCAAGGGCAAACTGGGATACCTAACTGGAGAGATCAAAGAAAAGAAAATTGGTGAAGATGGCTACAGTGTCTGGAGGTCAGAAAACTCACTAGTGACAGCCTGGCTTCTCAGTTCAATGGATGCATCAATCTCCAAACCTCATATGTTTATGAAAACTACAAAAGAGGTATGAGACTCTATTAAGGAAACTTATTGAGATCTTGAGAATTCTTCTCAGATCTTTGAACTCAAAACCAAACAGTGGCAATCTAAACAAGGAAATAAGGATGTCATTTCATACTATAATGAAATGGTATCTCTATAGCAAGAATTAGATCAATGCTATGATGATGAAGAATGGGAAGTGCCAAGGATCTGGCAAGGCATAGGAAAAGAGAAGAAAATGATAGGGTCTATATGTTTCTAGCAGGCATAAATAGAGACCTAGATGAAGTTAAGGGAAGGATACTTGGAAAAAAACCTCTGGCCTCAACACTCCGAATGGAAGATTGTAGAAAGAAGGTTATGTACAACACTCCAATACCTCATGAGGAACCCGGGGACTCTTCAGCTATGGTAGCCAGAAATGATGACCAGAAAAAACCTTGGTGTGACCACTGCAAGAAATTATGTCACACTAAAGATACCTGCTGGAAACTTCATGGGAAACCACTAGGAGCTGGAAAAAAGAAAGCTCTACAAACAACCGTGGATGAGACTCAACAAGAGCCACAAGTCAACTTCAAACAGCCCTCCTTCACAAAGGAACAGATAGAGCAACTCCTTAATCTTCTGAATACTCAAAAAAATTCCAAACCTGAATCTGAATCTTCTTCTTGTTCTTATGCCCAGAATGGTACCTCTTCATTTTTTTGTTCTCGGAAACCTAAAAGTACCTGGGTCATTGACTCAGGGGCTAGTGATCATATGACCTCTATTTCAAACCTTTTTTCTTCATATAAACCCTGTGCAGGGGACAAAAGGTCAAAGTTGCTGATGACTCTTTATCAGCCATTGTAGGGGTGGGAAGTATTAATATTTCCTCATCTGTGAACCTGTCCAAAGTCCTTCATGTCCCTAATCTTTCCTGCAATCTTGCTTCTGTTAGTCAGCTAACTAAAGATCTACAATATTGTGTTATTTTTTATCCCTCTTATTGCATTTTTCAGGACCTAGCATCGGGGAAGATGATTGGCAGTGCTAGGGAGGAAGATGGACTCTATATCTTTGATGAAGGGACTCAATCAAGTAAAAGAGGTCCAAGAAATGCTTGTCTGCAATCTGTTTCTTTTTCAAATAATAAAGAGTTGTATTTGCTTCACTATAGACTAGGACACCCTAATTTCCATTACTTAAAAAGGATGTTTCCTCAATTATTTTTGAATAAAGATACTTCTTTACATCAGTCTGACATGTGTGCTCTTGCAAAACATCATAAAAACTATTATCTTCCCCAAGTTATAAACATACTAGTCCTTTTACTTTGGTACATAGTGACATTTGGGGGGCATCTAGAGTACCAACTTTAAAAGGAAAGAGATTGTTTGTAACTATTATTGATGATCATACACGGGTCACATGGGTTTTTTTATTAAAGAAAAATCTGAAGTTGAAAAAGTGTTTAGGGATTTTTATGCTATGGTCCAAACTCAATTCAATACCAAAATTAAGATGATAAGAAGTGATAATGGCCGTGAATATTTCTCTCAGACCCTAAACAATTTTTTTGCTCAAAAAGGCAGTCCATCAAAGCTCTTGTATCAATACCCCAGCTCAGAATGGAATTGCAGAAAGGAAAAACAGACATTTACTTGAAGTCACTCGTGCAATCATGTTTTCAACAAACATACCAAAATATCTTTGGGGAGAGGCTGTGTTACATGCTACTTACTTAATTAACCGCATGCCATAAAAAATGTTAGGCTTTAAAAGTCCTATCAATTCACTGGAGCAATGTTTTCCTACAAATAGACTGATCAGTACTCTTCCTTTAAAAAATTTTGGTTGCACAGTGTTGATAAAAAATCCTGATAAAACTGCAAGTAAATTTGATCCTAGAGGAACAAAATGTGTCTTTCTAGGTGTTTCTTCCACTCAAAAAGGGTATAAATGTTTTGATCCTATAACCAGAAAAATGTTTGTTACAATGGATACTTTTTTGTGGAAGAACGGCCTTTTTTTATACTCATCTTTAGGGGGAGAGTTTAAGAGAAGATGTTCAAACATTACCACATATCCATGAAAACCTTAATTTTCTTGACATTAATCTTGATGATATTACATCTGAAAATGATCAAGGAATAACAAATAATGAAATAAATACAACTGAACCAATTGAAAAAGAGCAACAGACAAGTCAGTTCTTTGGCAAAGTTTATGAGAGAAGATTTCAAAATAAAAGAATAGAGGAAGTCCAAGAACCTACCACTGTTCATGATTCTGACTCAATGACAGGGAGTGAAAAAGGTAATACTTCTATTCATCTTGACCTTCCAATTGCCCTCAGAAAAGAAAGAAGAGCATGTGTTAAATACCCTATCTCAAACCATGTTTCTTATTCTAAATTATCCTCATCCTTTGCAACCTTTACTTCTAGTGTTTCTTCTATTCCTACTTCTTCAACCATACATGATGCTTTATCTAAACCTGAGTGGAAGAAAGCTGTTTTGGAGGAGATGGAGGCTCTTGAAAAGAATCAGACAAGGAAGCTTGTAGAGTTACCTAAAAACAAACCAACTGTTGGTTGCAGGTGGATTTTCACTCCTAAGTTTAAAGCAGATGGAAGTCTGGAGAGATATAAGGCGAGGTTAGTTGCTAAGGGATACACACAGACCTATGGCATTGACTACACAGAAACCTTTGCACCAGTTGCAAAGTGAACACTGTAAGAATTCTCTTATCTCTTGTTGTTAATTTGGACTGGCCACTGCAACAATTGGATGTAAAGAATGCTTTTTTAAATGGGAAACTTGAAGAAGAAGTGTATATGAAACCTCCTCCTGGGTTTGAGAATAAATTTGGTGCAAAGGTATGCAAATTAGAGAAAGCTATGTATGGACTTAAATAGTCTCCAAGAGCCTGGTTTGACAGATTCGCCAAATTTGTAAAGAAACAAGGGTTTAATCAGGCTCAAGCTGATCATACATTGTTCATGAAGTTTTCAGGCAAGGGGGAGATTGCAATACTGATTGTCTATGTAGATGATATCATCCTCACAGGGAATTATCATACATAGACTAAGAATTTAAAAGAAAAGCTTGCCCATGAGTTTGAAGTTAAAGACCTAGGAGATTTAAAATACTTTCTGGGGATGGAGATAGCTAGATCAAAAAGGGGTATTGTTATCTCACAAAGAAAGTATATCTTAGACCTTATGCAGGAAACTGGGATGAGTGCATGCAAACCCGCAGACACTCCAATTGACCCAGGACCCAGGACAGAAGTTGGGAGATATCAAGGAAGGAACTCCAGTTGATATTCACCAATATCAAAGATTGGTGGGAAGATTAATATATCTGCACATACTAGGCCAGATATTGCATTTGCAGTAAGCATGGTGAGCCAGTTTATGCATAATCCTTTCCAGGAACATCTTGATGCTACTTACAGGATCCTAAGGTACCTGAAGAGCTGCCAAGGGAAAGAATTATATTTCAAAAAGGGAGTCAGTTTAGGACAATTGAGGCCTATACTGATGCAGATTATGTTGGCTCAATACATGATAGGAGGTCTACTTCTGGATATTGTACCTATGTATGGGAAACTTAGTAACCTGGAGAAACAAGAAACAAATTGTGGTTGCTAAAAGTAGTGCTGAATCAAAATTCAAATCTATGGCTAATGGAATATGTGAATTACTCTGGATCAAGAGAGTAATTACAGAACTGAAGATGGAGATGGAACTGCCTATGAAGCTGTATTGTGATAACAAAGCAGCTATAAGCATTGCTCATAATCCTGTGCTACATGATCGAACTAAGCATATTGAAGTGGACAAACACTTTATTAAAGAGAAGATAGAAGCTGGAATTATTTGCACACCATATTTATCTACCAAAGACCAAACAGCTGATATCCTCACCAAAAGGTTATTTAAACCTGTGTTCAAACTGCTTACAAACAAGTTGGGAATGTATGATATATACTCACCAACTTGAGGGGGAGTGTAGAAAATGTTACATGATTTAATTTGGTGTACATACTTAGCCGAATAGATTAGAACACGTGTTGTTATTTAGAGATAAGCTCGTAGTAATCAAGATCCTATTTTTTAGGATCTAAATTAGCTGATTAGTTGCGTGTACATATGTATAAATATTCTGGCCGATTGGCATAATCAATCAAGGAAGTTTTATCCCTAAAACCTACAAAAAGTAAGACTATGATACAAAGAAAAAGACTTTTCTAGAGTGCTCTATTGGTAATGTTGAGGCCATTCAGGTGCTTAATAAAGCTAAAAGGGGTTATAGACAAAGTTCAAGGGCTTGAAATAATTTTTCCCCAATAAAACATGCCGGAAATCCAGAATACATATAAAGAGCAAGAAAATTTACCTGGGAATCAATCTTGTATGGATTAGGCAATTGTTTTTCCTCCCAGTCTCTACGGCAGGGCCTTGATGTCAACCCCCAACCCGGTCTATCAAAAGCAACCACAGTACAACCCACTTGTTGAGCTAGCATGACCATCACATTTCTCCACGAAAAGACCCCACCTCCAAAGCCATGTACTAAAACAATCCCATGCTCATGGTTTGCTTCCAAATCTCTCATGTTTGGTGGATATGGCAAGTTATTAATCTGATTATCCTCACACCTTGTCTCAGATAGGCTCAAAACAGGTATATCTTCAAACATAACAGGGGATTTGGGAGAGGTATCGAGCAAAGGAATAGATAGAGATGAAGAATTATATTGGTTACTGAAGCTCCTTCGAAGTTTCTGTTCATTTCTGGATGAACCACTTACCGCTGACCTGTCAAAAAAGGCCATGGAGGAAAAGGAACAGGGAGGTGAACCAGGCAAACTTATCTTATAATGAATGGCAAGTCCAAGACAAGAGATAAATAAGCTGTCAGAATCAGCCAGTAATCTAACAGGCAGTTGACCATCAACATGAGCAAATCGTGCAGATTTTGTCCGCAATCCATTGTCACTTCTTGGTGCCTTCCCAGCAGAAGGGATTGGGGAACGTGGAACCTTCTGGTATCCAGAAAAAACAACTTTGGCTCGGACCTGTGATTCATTGTTAATCGAAACAATCAGTACAGTAAGCCATTTGTTTGGATCAAAACAAGGGCATGGAGGAGAATGGGAGCTTAAAAGAGGTGTATGTTTGGTTTAATGGAATAATGAGGTATTATTATTTTAGAAAAATATACTACGTATTAAAAACGTTATGGTTGATATGATTTCTTTATCATTTAAAGTATAGCAATCTATATGTATAGCAATAATAATGTGGAAAAACTTTGATTTAGAAAAGGGCTAAAGAGAAATTGAGAAAATATAATTGCTCCAAAATACCCCAAAATGGGGGGAGTAGATTTGACGAGCTTGGAGGAGTAAATAGCTCCCCCCCCCCACTTACCAACACAGAACAGAATAAGCTTTTGCGGGATAAAAAATTACATCTCTAATTATACAATTAAGGGTCTGTTTGGACCACATAAATACTAAAGAAAACATAGAGGAAGATTCGAATGAAAGAGAAGTGGGGAGAAATTAAAAGATAGACTCAAGCTCAATTAATTTATTTTTGGGAAAAGTACGGAAAAAGTACCTGTGGTTGGGCTCGTTTTCAAATAGGGTCATGTGTTTCATTTTTTATCAAAGTAGTTCATGTGTTTGAACTCTGTTATCACAAGAGGGTCCTGGCGCTTGACCCCGTTAAAAAGTGGAAGACGATTAATAGTAACTCCGATTTCCAAAAGTGCCCGGAAAATTAGAAGAAAAATACCAGAAGGTGCGCCTTGTAAAGATGACCTCCAAACCACTTCTGTCTTTTCCACAGGTACCTTTTCCATACTTTTCCCTTTATTTTTTATATTTGTTCAAGCTCATTTCATCTATTTATATACTTTTTTATTTATTTCTATTATATAAGTACTATGAAATCTAAATGCATGTAAATGTTAAAAATAATAAATCATATTGACATTCCCTTTTATTTTCCAAGGTAAAGCCAAGCACAAGAAAATAATTTCACTTAGCATTTTACTGTTTGCCCTAGTATTTTCCCGGCATCCAAACATACCCATAAGGACAGTAGAGAATCATATGCAATTCCAACTAGGGTAGAAGCTACAAATGGAAGCATCATATCTACATACAGCATCGGGGTCAATGCGGTGAAACAAGAGTTTCCTTCTAGCTCTACAACTTGATCTGTATGCAATAACTGAATGTCCAAGAGCAAACACCACAGATGAGAGAAACAAGACTGGCATCCCCCATGACTTCATCAAATGAAACTTTTGCCGTGAGATGGAGATTGAAGCTTCAGCTTCCAGGTAAGAATTGACAGAAAAAACACAAGCCTTGATGGAAAGAAGAAGAACTGAAATGACTGAACAAAATGTCACGGCTCCAAGATAGGTTTCGTGAGAGAGGGAAGCGCCATTGCACAAAGAATACACACCTGAAATGATGAAATTGAAACAAATAGCAGTATTACTTTGACAGTTCAGACCTTACAAACATAATAAGCAAGATAAAGATCCAAACAGTTGAATTTATTGGCAATATGAGTGGAATTTCGTATTAGAGAAAAAAGATATAACTAATTAGGCAGTAAACTAAGGCACAGATTTTTTTTTTGGCGTAAGGACCAACCAAATATTTGCATATTTATCAAAGAAGGAAAATGTGACAAGAGAAAGAAAAAGGAGCCATTAATCCTCAGGGTTCAATGGATCATATAAACTTATCGCAAATTTCACAAAATAATGTAAATGAAATCCAGAAAGCTTCATTTAAGAAATATGAAGGGTGGGGATGACAACATACAGGTGATGACGAGAGATCTGATGATTGAAACTAGAGGAATGTCAGTTAATGAACTCTTGAATGTGTATATATGCAAGTGTTCTTGAAAACTGTAACCACTGATGCACGTGAAGCACGAAATCAATACGCACTGCACTATCATGTCACCTATCGCCACCAGCACAGGGGAAGATATCACCAGCAGAGAAGCCACCATCGCCACCATGAAATACAATATCTTTACGCCTCTCCTTAACCTCTCAAATCCCCACATCGCTCCGGAGGTCATCCTCTTAATTAACGTTATGTCCTCTTTAAAAATAGCAAGAATAACTTCTTCTGCTGATATCTCGACGGAGTTTCAAGTAGGATTCGGGAATATTACAGATCGACTGCGGAAAAGCAAAAGAAATGATGGCAATTCCGCGAGATATGGCGGCGTTGCAGCCATCTCGCGGTGGCAAGTTGGGCGGTCCATATTTAGGTAATATACTCCATATTTAGGCAAGGTTATACAGTTATACCAAAACGCCACCCGGTTGCTAATTTAAAATTTGATCTCTTCCACCCATTTTTTATATCAACGATCAAGATTAGTTCTTATTTTTCACTAAGGAACTACTTTTTATTTGAATCGATCCATATATACATGAGTGAGTTCTAATACAAAGAGGTTTTACCATTAAAAGTGAAAAGAGGTTTTACCATTAAAAGTCTGACCACTTGAACATGGATGAAATAGATAAAAAATCGAGGTGGCAAAATGCTAAACCTAAATGTGCAATACTTAGTAATAAAAGTGCATATGGAATATGTAAGAATGCACATTTACCTCGTTAACAAATACTCCCTCCGTCCCGCTCTGATTGTCCCGTTTCACCTTTTTGGTCCGTCCCATTAAGATTGTCTCATACCTTATTTGGTAAAATTTGTGTCGTTCTAAATCATTCTTACTTTATTCTTACTTTATCAATTCAATATCAATCACATAAACTCACTTTTATTAAAAACGGTGTCACCTTCTTTTGTTCCAAACTTAGGGGGACGGTATCATATTTCTATAATCCTTATTTAATTTAAAAAAGTGATGCATTATGGTGTTTGTCAAATGCATTGTTTCTCCGTATCGATGCACATTTATCACTTTATTTTTCGAAAAAGTTCCTAATGTTTATACTTTTGTCACCGCGTATTGCACTTAAAAATTGTTCTGATTCACTTATTTTCTCATTTTTCATATGAGTAATTTGTGTTTGAATCTCCTTCTCTCTATATACATATACGTGTGTGTAATATGTGTGTGTAATATGTTCGTGCATACATACATACATACATACATCTCCCGCCCATTTCCGCGCAAATTTCCTCCCATTTCCCGTTAAGTCAAGCTCTGTCTCTTTCTATTCACCGCCTCCGTCTCTTGAATTCGTTTTTTAATTCAAAATCCATTTTTGCTTGATTTGGTGCCGAGCTTCCACCCACTGTTCTGCGGTCAGGCTACTGTAGAAGGATGTGCTATGTGCGGTTCTCCTGGCATCTGGTGGTTGCGTGTTGTTTTTGTTTATCGATCGACTTGTGGTGTTCATTCCATGCCAACCCTATCTCTTACGACAATTTACACTCAAGGTCCGCCTTCCGCATAACTCGACGTCGCCCATTCTCGAAGTAGAACAGTTCCCTCGCCTCGTCGCTCCATCTCTGCATACGAATTAGCCGGGTTGGTCTTCTTTCCATTCTCTCTCTATATTCAAGGTCACTAGCTCATTCATTTGGTGATAAGCACCATTATTTTTGTTCTGGCAATTTTAAAGACGGCTATTATTGGTTTGGTGTTTGAATTTCCTTACTCGTATCTAGTATCTTCCCCTATTAACTTAGTCCCCCGCTGCCATCCCCTTCGCCCCATGTTTTATTTTACGAATTCTGATATATTCTATGAACATGCATTCACAACTTGTTGGCTTATTATTTGCTGTGGAGGATGAGATTGATATGGTATATGTCTCTCTATTTTTTTTGGGATGGGGTTACCCATAGAGCTTCAGAAGAGGCTTTCTTTAACCTTTACCATGGACAGAAACTGAGAAATAATAAAGTGATTCAGTTTTAAGATTTTGTTGCAAAAGTAGGAAGAAAGAAAAGAGTAGTAGTTAATAGTGTATGTTACAATGAAGGATCATATTTTTTTTACTACGTGTCAATCAAAGGGGTTGTGAGCTGTTTTTCTACCTATTACTGTATTCAATTAAAAAAACATTCGTGAAAAAATACTTGTTGTCATCAGATTTTTTAAAAATGAACTCTGCCTTTTTTTGAATTCTAAAATATGAAGTAATTTCTCAATGTTTCATTTCAACTTTGATTTAGTTTGCTCCCCGTTATCTTGTGTTTTAAATCTGCTTGATGCTTTGTTTGATATTTTCATTTATTTTGCCATGGTTTATTCTTTAATCATTTTGACCTTGAGTTTTCGGGACCCTCTTCATCCCATAATTAAGAGTCAATTTTTCGGTTTTAAGCATGTTCATATTTAGCACAACTATAGTTATAACACATTTCACTTCAACATAATGAAACGAGCATATGTCTGGCACTAATGTTTCTCCAACGCTTCATCCGTCGTAGAAGGCTTAACAGTTAGCCATGAACATCTGTGTCACTATACATGAATAAAAACATGTATACTTATATGAGGTTGTCTTATAGCATAATGGAGAACGGATATATGCCAAATCACAAATGTTACAGTGTGGCTAAGTCTACTTGATCCCTGCATAATGTAGAGCCTGTCTGGACTTGGGATACGCTAAGGAAAGGAAATTGGGATGAAAATAGGGTGGGGATTTGGAATGAAGAAAAATGTTGAGGGGATAAATTGTCAACCTCACTAAATCAATTTTAAGTATTTGTTTAAACTCTCTTGATTAACCTATTTCATTCATATAGAGACTAAAAAATATAAATGTATGTGACTTTTTAAAAAAGCTCTAATCAAATTATTTTTCTGAGGTCATATGAATATCTTCATTAGCCTTTCCCCCTTGCCTACCATTTACAGTTTTTTTTTCAAATCTGCACTAATAATTTAACTATCAAAAAGACCACAGAGGGAAACTACCAAAAAGCTTCAGAAAGAGTCATTCAAGAGTACCTTGAGCAACATAAAACTTGTTTTCAGAGTGGTAATATGAGTCCTATGATTCATATGACTACTGGCATAAAAAAACTTAGACATATCCTAAGTGCATTCTGATGAAGGTGTTATCTTTGAATGCCTGTTTTGTGGACAAAAAATGGAACCAGCGTTAAGAGGTATTCAATTCATACTTTTGTTATGTGAAGGCTGCATTTTTATTTTTTTTAGAAATGTTAAGGTTCAGAATGGCAGCTAAAGTTGCTCACAAATCAACATATGTGGATATCACTTTGTTCACACATGATGTTCTACATATCATGCAATGTGTAGGACACGAACCTTCTGAGTGAGCTTAACTTGGAAGCTTTTTAGAAACATAGCAACATGCAGCTTGTTTGGGAATGCGCCACGCTAAAAAAAGATGATGAAGGCCCACAATGTAATGCTTATGGAGTTATTTGCATATGTCAGGCTTCAAATGCACTGGTTCTTTCTGGGAATGACTTCACAAACACCAAAGCGGCCGAGTCTAGCCACCAATCCAAGCAGAAATCGGATTTGGAGGAGCCCATTGGAAACGTGACACCCGATGACACTGAATCTTTGGACAATCTCGCAGATTTTAACCCGCATCCATTAAAATCTAAGAGAACTAAACCCTCTGCTATTGTCCCTCTTCCAGGATAAGAATGGGAACTTTCTGCCTTGGATCCTCCATGACTCAAGTTATCTTCTATGTTGTGGAGCATGTGCTTTATCTATTAACTTTCAGCCTCCTTAACATAGTTTAGACCTTTTGAATGTTGTGTGTATTATTATCTTTTGCTACAACTACAAATTTATGCATGTAATTGATTAAAAAGTAGGCAGCGGTATATTCGGCTACTTTTTAATATAATTATAGATGTTTTTGCACAGGCAATTTTGTTCTTTTTGTACATAGGCGCTTCTAACTGAAATATGTTGGTTCATCCCATAATGTGTAATCTGCCGATTATTGGCAACTCCAAACAAGTATGTTTGCCTTTGGTTTCAAGGTTTTAATATGTTGCAAGCTATTTTCTCTTGTGTAAGTTACTTTTTTATCGTTGGAGCATTCAGTTTGCTCCAATTCATTTAGATTTAATGGCCCTGCTTTTTTAAAAAACTCTTGTATGTGCCACTTTAGTATCATGCTAACCCAAAACGACATGTAGTGTATTTTCATATGTTATACGTTTGTGCTTGAATTGGGCACCAACGCCTCGCCCATAGGGCGTGCCAGGGCTAGTACATACATACATACATAGATAGAGAGAGAGAGAGCAACGATCCTGTCAGGCTGGCCTGATAGGAATTGTCATCCGGCCGAGGGCTTTTGGAGCTCTTCTCGTTGGAATTTTTCAATGAATTTTTTTGAGTATGTTCTACATCAAGTCTAGTTTATCCATACCAAATTTCAGCTAAAAATGCAACCGGGAAGACAGACAAATGAACTGATATGATCTGTCCTCTCTCTATATATATATTGTGTGTCATGTGTGTGTGTTGAATTCTTGAATATAATGAACTTGTGAGTTGTGATGCCTCAAATACAATGAAGATCATCAAAATTCAGAAACACACACCTACATCACAATTCTGTTGTGAAGATAAGAAAACCTATATATCCTATATATTTTTGTACATATTGTTTTGATTGTGAAATTTGCAAGTACGTGTAGGTGGGCGGGTGCTAGGCGGTGAGGACAGAAACAGGGCCATGAATAAGGTGGTGGCGCATGGCATGTTGATGGATCAAATCTTGAAGCCTGGCAAATGCAACCAAGAACTGCGCCGCATCTGTTGGGGCCTTGAGGAGAACCTTCTTCACACTCACATGCATTGCTTTCACCCTCAGGTTTTGGGCCTTGATGAGAACCTGATGAACCTTTTTGAACTCGGTGTGAACACAGGCTAAAGCCGCCACACCCCCCTTCTTCTTCCTCATCATTCTCAAAGGGAGGTGAAAGATGCAATTCGCTTGGATTTCAGCCATCTCCTCCTCGATCACTGCCTCCTCCGCCCGTAACTCCTCCATCAGCAGGGGCAGAACCGTCTTCACCGCGCGGGACTCGGGAAGGGTGCCCGCTTGGATTAGGGAGTGGAGGAGGCGCGGGATGGCCGAGGGCCTCCAATCGCCCAACCAGGAAAGGGCTGCTAGCTCACGGGGCGGGGCCCATTTTGGCATCAACACCTCGGCTACATCTTTGATCAGCTTGGTCGGGGTACTGCTGTACTGCACCTGGAAACGCTTCACCTGCTCATCAATCAGATTCTCCATTGACCACCTTCCCTTCAGCTCCTTCTCTAACCTTTCTGCTCCCTTCATCTGTTCCATCCTCCATTGCCCATATTCATCACCACAATACTCTTCACCTGATCCCAGTTTCCAGCCAGAGTCAAATTAAATACATTCAATGTCATACTAAGTGAACCATTGTTTTTCTATTATCTGTTCTCACATACTGGGAGTTAATTAATACCGATCAGCAAGAAAGAAATCCTTGGCCTGCTTTCGGTTTTTGGATTTTCAGTTTCCAAGAATGACAAAAAAATCCAAGTCCTTTTTTAAACTCGTTCTTTTTCTATATTCTCAAACTGGGAATCTATTGAACACCCGGGGAAGAAAGAATAATGTTTTCATCTAATTAAGTCTATTGATTTTCAATTTCCGAGATTGAAGAAAGGAAGAAAAATGTGCATTGAGACATTTTATCTGTTTTACAGGAAATAAAGTAAAAACCCCAATCTTTTTATGATTTCGCAGATTCGTCAATTTAAGAATATTCCTACAATTTAAGAAACATTGTTAGTCTGTTTTCTCAAGCAGGAATTTCCGGAACATTCAATTTCAGAACTCTCAGAGTGAAAGGAATATCTTCGACTGAACCCTCCGTTTCAGAAATTTCAAAAAGAGTTGGAAATTTCTTACATCTTTTGTAGGGTTGGCGTTTCTGGATTGGCATGCAAGTAATCATCATGTCACTGGAGAATGCGTCTTCATCTTTATCAGGCTCATCATGGTTCAGTGCTTTTCCTCTGTTCTTGAAAGTCGCTCCGGGTTGTTTACTGGAAGAAGAATGCATTTTGTGAGATATTATATCTTCGGACTTGGGATTAATTTTCTTTGTTAACAAGGGGAACGAACTTACAGTAGAGGCAGAGATTGAGGCCTTCTCATCGTTCGCCTCCTTCTTTCTTCTTTTCTCTTTTTCTCCTCTGGGAAATGTATGTAAATAGGGAATGATGATCCAACTAAATGAGCAAGGTTCGCTTGTGACAAGGAAACTATCCTGTATTAACTATTAATGGAGGGAGGGCCTCCTTCCCACTCCGTTTTCATCTTTCTTTTCTCAAGTTAATTTCATTAATAGTTTTTTTTTTTTGTAATCGTAACATAAATATTTCACCAAAATCCCACAACACCCTTCATCCTACCCCAAATAATTTTGTCTGTCGCCTCTTTTTGGACGGCTTACCCTCACCAACCCTTGAAAACAGGAACAATTGCTTGACGCTTGGGGGAGCCAAAGAGGAAGCGAGTGTTAGAATGCTAAGAACAAGAAGATCTAGTTGAAGGGGCTATGATTGTGGATGAGCCAAAAAATGTGGAAGAGGCGGGCGTGGATCTCTGGCTCACCTAAGTCTTCTCCGAAAGTTTATTTATTTAGGTTCTTTGTTTTTGTTGTTTTTCGCTTGTATAAGGATTTTAGATTTTGTTTTTTTGAGTGTGGTCTTTATCTTTGTTATGGGTCAAGCTCATAATAGGGTAAGTGGTAAGGATACTAAATCGGTCATGGTTGACTTACATTTGCCCATTTGTGTATTGGGTGATTGACCGTGAGGGCGTATGATAAGGTTATGTGTTCTAGTTTTACTGGATTGTTTCTAGGGTGTGGTCTTGATGTTACCTGTTTGGAGTATGATTTTATAATGTAAGCCGGTTTCTCTTAAAAAAATCCAAATTGAGAAAATTTAAAAATTAAGGGTCTGTTTTCATTTTCTGTTTTCAAGTCTTCAATTTTCTGTTTTCATTTTTCAGTTTTTTGTTTTCCAAATCAAAAAACATGTTTACCAGAGGTTTCCAATTTCCATTTCATATTTACCCGAAAACGTTGAAAAATGAATTTAGAGTAATTCAGACAAATAAATCTTACCAAATTGGCCCTAAATGTCATATTATCATTTAGAGGTACAACATTAACCTCACTCTCAAGATGTTTGTTGGAAAACTCACTCTGAACATCTGATGTTTCATCACCAGACACACCACTATTCAGATTTCCATGTAAACAAAGTGCAAACTCAAATAACTCAAACTTTCGGGGGGAAAAATGCAAACTGAAATAACTACTAACCCAGAGTGCCTTTGCCTTAAGTTAGAAGTAATATATTATTAACCCAGTATGCATCAATTTTAGCTAAAACCTCCTAGAGTCCTACTTAACTACTTCAGTTATCAACTAAGCAAAGACACCATTCTGTCGGAGTGAACAAAGAAGTAATAACTGATAATTCCTTAAAAAGCTTTCATGATAATTGAAAGGGAAGCTTTCATCATGATAACTGATAAATCAAATCGAGTACTAAAATGGGAAACTGACTGAAGACTTTGGAAAGAAGAAGAAACAATTTTCGTAGGACTTTCGAAGCTTTCAGCCAGAATGCTACGAGGACCTGTAAAATGAATTTAGAGTAAAAATGACTAATTATATAATTTACGTTATTACGTAGTATATGATAAGATAGAGTTTGATAGCTAGTAAAAGAAGAAAAAACAATTGAGCCCTTCTTTGGTCAGAAGACTTCGGAAAGAAGAAGGAAAAACAATTTTCATACGTAGAACTTTCACTTGAGCCCTTCTTTGGTCAGAATGCTTTGGAGGAGTTTTGTATGTTTGAAAAAGATTTTCCCAAATAGGAGTAAAACAATGTAAAATCACTGATAGAGTAATGGGAAACTGCTAGCCTTCAAAAATCAAATAGAAATTTCAAAGTAGAAGAAATAGAAAACTCAAAGGGAAGCTTTCATCATGATAACTGAGAAATCCTTAAAAAGCTTTTTAAAGTGAGATAATTCTTTTAGCCTTCTCTAATTATTACTCTTGATGATAAGTTGATAAATGGATTATTTTAAACATTGAAACCTTCATCATACAAACAGTATTCTACATGTTTAACAACTTAGCATAAATGTTACTCCGTAAGTCCGTACACTAGTTCAAAATATGCTTTCTATAACTAGTATTTTATATGGGTTCCTTTTGAACCGTCATTGTATGTAGACGTGGGGTAATATTTACAAATAACGAAAGATATATGTAGCTTTAGTGGGTAAGGATTGTAATTACAAAATTCCATCAATAACGGGTGTATATGAAACGGACATTGTATACTCAAACGGGGTTAAATAAATAATATTCATAAAATCAAAGGTAGTAACGGGGTGTTTTTTTATAAAATCTAAAAATACTTTCTTATGTCGGACTCCTTTTGAACCCTTATCGAAAGATCTCAGTATTTTTTTTCCGGTGCGACTAAAGCTTTAAAGGCCTTAAACAATACTCCGATATCCCGATGTGAAGACGCCGCACAAAGTTAGGGCAAGACAAACCCAGTTCAGGTGAAGACGCCGCACAAAGTTTCGAAGTCCTCCATCCTTAATCATTTTCCTACCTCGCCCGTCGCCAGGGTTCCTTTATGAAGTGTTTCTCTCCATCCATGTCTCCGCCATTTCTCCACCCTAGGTGAAATTATGCTTTTTGTGATATATTTGATATTTATACGGAGTACTTTTTTTCAATTAGGGTTCAATTAGTATATATGTGTTCGTTTGGAGCGTTTTTTCGATGTTGATATTTCATACCATTTTCACTTGAGGACAATAAGCAGTTGGACCGGTGCAAAGAGAGCGCGTAAGGAATTAAATCGACGGAGATCGAGATGGTGGATTGGGGGTCGGTGGTGATAGCGGTGGTACTATTCGTGCTCCTAGCAAGCGGGATTTTAAGTGTATCGGCTATTGTCCTGGTGCACTTCTTTCTCTGGTACTCTAGCTATACTACTACTAGTAATATGTTGAAGTTCAATCGATTTACTTTCAAAACCAGTTCATCTAGAATTACTGTTTGGATTGAATTTTGATCTGATCGTTTGAGTGGAAGTTAATCTGTAGACTATGTAGATAAATTTTGATCAAATGTTTCAAATTTTATATAAAGCATGAAAAGTTTTGCTTAAAATATTTTTAGTTCTTCAGTTCCTATAACATGTTCTTAAAATATCCCAATAAGATTTGCTACTGAATTCTTTTTCCAAGTGTCTATAAGAAGTTCATAAAAATAGTGATAGGAAATTGAAACTAAAGAAACTCAAACTAAAACAAAGAAAGTTGTGATTTATTTGATCATACATTGGGTTAGCTGCATTTAATATTTAGTCATGTGTAGTGTTTTATTTTTCAGAAAATGAAAGGTAACAACGTTTCTGCTTTTAGATCAAATGGTACACAATGGTTGGTTATATTCACGCAGATGCTTATTAGAGCGAGAATATTACTCTAGTTTTGATTTTCCTTTTCATTTAGTGTGCTAAAATATTCATGTTTCATGGTCAGATGGATGCATGTCAAGTTCAGGATTTCTACACCTTGGTATATAGACAACTAAATCTTTAAGGGACTGGCTAGGTTGCCTAGAAGCAAATGAGGTACTTTATTGGTTGGTTGCAAATGACCTAAAATTAATTCTCATGGTTTCTTCTCTGTTTTTTGATCAAAAAATATGTTTCATAGTTAGATGGATACATTTCAGGTCCATAATTGGTAGTTGCTACACCTCGATATACACACTAGCCAGACTGTAAAGAAACAAATCAGGTATTTAAGTATTTTGTTGGTTGGTTATAGCTTTCATAAAAAAAGGATAGGTGACTCATTAGCATGTAAACTACATGTTAAGTATATCTCTTTATCACTAAATATATAAGTCAAAACACATGCTTTTGGTTTTATGATTAAAAAAAATTATGTGACTTCTTTAAGCTAGTATTTGTTGAGCAATCTTAACACTCCTAAAGTGTAGTTGTACAACAATCTAATTGGCATACAATAACCCCTTTTAGTAATACTTTACCAATAATTGCCATTTTACGCTTAAAAAGTTTACTTATGCTATGTTTGAATAATCTCAAGCAGGGATCTTGGTGATTGTACACGCTTGAGCAATGAGAATTTATTAAGCAGGGAATTTGTCTATGTATGAACAATCTCAAGAAGGGATCTCGGTGATTTTACATGCTTGTCTACACGTAACGACATCTCCTCTATATTTGACAAATTACAGTACTTATACTATTTTTTTTTGTTTTACCTCAGAGCTATCTGTTCCAAATATTTGAAAAGGCATAGAAAGGACAATGAGTGAAGGGTTATATTTGATCTCACTACATTTTTATATTGTTATACTTCTTTTCTCTTAAACTCCTCTCTCTTCTCAGTACTACTCTGTGAATTTATTTTTTTAATTATATTTTTGTGTGTACTGGTCATTCTATATGATAATAATTACTGTAAATTTGTAGTTTTCAACTTTTAAACGTGGTTGTTGATTGTTTGTGAGAGTTCACACATGCTTATAGTGGGGTATGCTAGTCATTTTTATTGTAGAGCTAACTATCTTACTTGCTTAAAATAATACATTTGTGGTTTAGAGCAATAGTTCTATTGATATGGAATATAAATTTTTCTTTTGTATTCTATTTGACAGGAATGAAAAGATTCAAATTGTTGATGGGCTTTGTGAAGGTTAAGGTGGTAAAATTGTTTAAATGGGATCTGGAATGAATGTATCACATGTAATGTGTAATTAGAGTATAATCTGTTCAAGAACTCTTCCTAGATATGTGATAGAGTATATGGGCCTGGACCCCATGGCCCACATACTCAACGGCCCAAAAGACACCAGCAGGACACCCGCATCGGCCAAAGGCACGCAACGTCCAAGAAAGAAGATGTCGCCTAGATCCTTGGGCAAGACCCAGGATCCGCATCGTCCATGGACCGCATCGTCCATGGACCGCATCGTCCATGGACCGCGTCGTCCATGGACCGCATCGTCCATGGACCGCATCGTCCGGACTTCGTCCAGGCAGAATGTATTTTTTACTGTATTTTCTAAGTATTGTACACAGCCCATTAGTGGCTTTATTTCGCCCAAAGAAGGCATGATTATTGTAATGGGCCTCCTAAGCCCAAGGCTAGGGGCCCAAATCCACATTTTTACCTATAAATAGACCCCAAGGGGCTAATTATAGGGGGTTCCAAGTTGAGAAATATAATTACTCACTTTCTCTCTCTAGCTCTCACTTCTCTCTAGAATTAATACTCTATCAATATGAATTAAATCTGTTATTATAATATTTTAATATATAATTTATTTGAATCGAGTCTGTACTTGTGATATTTTGAATTTGGATGAAGACTGTAATAAATAATGATAGAAATATCTAGTATTTTGAAGAAGATGTAATGTGAATATGTGATGACGCTTATATTAGCGAATAGCAAGCAGTGCATTTTTTTTTTTGAGAAAATTACTTACTTTCTATAACGGTTGTTTTTTAACTGATATAGAATCTTTTCAATATGGGTTACCAACACCCGACACGAAAAGCACTCTACATTCTATGTCGCCTGTATCTATGTCGGTTCACACCCGACATTAAAAGTCGATTTTAACCCACATTAAAAGTCTCTTTTCCACTAGTGGTATCATACCAACATTTTCATAACCACTGAAAGAAGGGATACTCTAGGGAACATGGAATTAATGCATTTGTAAGGGATACAAAGTTTCCTGACACTAGAACTAAGTGAGTAAGTGAGATCAAACACTATTTTCATATGACAGTATGAAATTCACCAACTTCGTAATTATTGTCATATGACAGTATGCATCCACTTTAAAATTCAACCCAAAAATTACATGGTTCATAAGCACTAAGGTATTGTAGCACAACATAAATTGCAGAAATTAAACAAAAAATAAAGCTAAAACCCCTTGAAGAAGAGTCAGATAAAAAATGCCAGAACAATGAAGGTCAATGGGCCTTAAAAAATTGGCTCAATTGCCAGAAAGTTCAACCCAAAAATTACATGCTAGGATATCACATGGGTATGACGTTCAGGCATCAAGAAGCTCAATTGCTCTTCAGGATTCCAATCAAATTACAATTCTAAACAACAAAAAGTGAAAATTCCATTTGACTGAACACGAGCCAACCAAAGATTTGGGAGATTCCGTGATGTTGGGTGCAGGTCCTGGCAACGATTCCCTGTTTGGTGAATCTGGAGTGTGGTTGACATGTGAATAAGGAAGATGGTCTTCGGTGAACCTAGGATGTGGAGAAGCGGTGTTCTTGGCGAGGCTTTGCAGCGAGTTAAATAGCTACGAAAGTGGACATATGTTCTTCAAATTGCGGCAGTTTGGCGGAGATGTAAAAAGGGTAGGCCGAGGAAGGTAGGCGGAGGAAGCTTAGGCGAAATTAAGGCGACAAATGAGAGCAGGCAGGGGAGGAAGGCGAGCGACTAAGAGCATCTCCAATGCTACAATGTGACATGAGAGATATAGACACAAAATATTGATTTTATGACATTTCTCTCTCCTTCTTTCCACGGTCTTATGTGTTTTGGTAAGTTTTTGTCTGCAATGTCAACCAAAATGTCTACATCTAGACATTGTGCTTGACATTGTGAAGAAAAACTTACCAAAATGATGTAAGATCCTTCAAATAAGGAGATAAACATTCTATTTATTGTTTTTTAATTGGTTATTTCTCATGCCACGTATGCACCGTTAACGTTTTAGCATTCGAGATGCTCTAAAGGAAGAAACTGTAGCCCCGTGTTTTCTAAATCGTGAAAACGCATAAAAGTCGTTTTCCATTTCATGAGTAAAAGACGAGATGTGTTTCGGTTTTCATTTTTTAAAAAATGGTTAGGTAAACACGTTTTCTAATTTTTCTATTTCCAGTTTTTTTTTTTTTTGGAAAAATGGAAAATATTTCTATTAGTAAACAATATTTGAAAAAGTATTTGAAAGGTTTTGAATGGTTACAAAAGGTCATTCAAACCCCTCTCTAATTTTTTAAACTCCCACCTCTAATTTGAAAGGGTTACCCTCATTCCCCTCCCCTCACTTCCTAAACTTAAATCCCAGTTATACGTGAAGTATCCAGAAAGAAAAAAGCATGAATGGAAAGAGAGGTATAAATTGAGTGGCGGGTGAGGTTTGTTGATGCTGGAGACGACAGTATTGATGCAAGAGAAATAGAATGCAGTAAAATCTGAATGCACCGAAGAGAGGAAGAGATATACGGAGTAATATGATTAGAACTAAATTAGGATCCAAGCTGCCGCCCAGATTCTTGAGTTAGTACAGGTACAGCCCACTAGTAAGTATATTGGCAGAAGAAGAAGAAGAAGATGAAGCTTTCCCTTAAACCCACATTGATGAATTCCAGACCCAAATCCAAGCTTATCCCCAACTGCACGATCTATAATAATGCAGAAGAAGAGCATAACCGCATTGGCGCTAGCGACGAAAATTTCATAGGAACCCTAAACTCCATCGTTAGGGGAAATAAGAGCTGGAAAGTGGTCCTCAACGACCCGTTCATTTCGACCCGAATCAAACCTCCCCACATCGAGCGGGTCCTTGTGCATAACCAACACGACTCCAGGTTAGCTCTTCGCTTCTTCAATTTTCTAGGCATTCATTCCAACTTTCACCATTCCATTGCATCTTTCTGCATCCTCATTCACGCCTTAGTACAATCAAATCATTTCTGGCCTGCCTGTTCTCTCCTGCAGACCCTTCTTCAAAGAGGATTGAATCCCAGATTAGTTTTCCATGAACTTCTCAATTGTTATAAAAGATTCAATTTTTCTTCCACTTCCGGTTTCGATTTACTGATTCAGAGCTATGTTCAGAATTGGAGCTTATTAGATGCTGTGTTGATTGTGAGACTTATGAAAGATTGTGGAATAATTCCAGAGGTTAGGACCTTAGGTTCTGTTTTCGGTGGATTGATCCGAATAAGGAAATACAAATTGGTTATCAGTTTGTTTGACGAGGTTTTGTGTTCAGGCATCCGACCAGACTCTTTCATGTCCACTGCCGTGGTCAAGAGCTGGTGTGAGCTTCAGGAAGTTGACAAAGCCAAGGAAATGGTGAAATGCGTCGAGAAAAATGGTCATGAATTGAATGTCAATATGTATAACACTTTGATCCATGGGCTATGCAAGGGAGGGAGGGCAGAGGAGGCACTTGAGGTGAAGATCTCATTGTGTCCAAATGGGCTGACTCCGGATGTGGTCACATACCAAACCCTAGTTCTTGGGTTCTGTAGAGTCTTCCAATTCCACATTGCCCGAGATTTGGTATGTGAGATGTTGGATTTGGGTTTAGTTCCTAGTCCTGGTGTTCTATCCGCTGTGGCTGATGGGCTAGTAAGGAAAAATGGTGATATTATGGACGCCTTTTCCTTGGTGGATCGGGCAATGAATGTGGGTGCGGTCCCGGGTTTAGTTTCATACACTAATTTAATGAGTTTGTTATCTAAAGAAGGAAAGTTGGAGGAAGTAATGATTCTTTGGGATAGAATGAGGCGGAATGGATTGGCACCGAACGGTGTAACTTACTCTGTTATCATAGACACTCTGTGCAAAAATGGGAAACTGACTTCCGCTATAGAGGTCTTCAACAGTATGGAAGACGCGGAGCCACTATCATCAGTTTATCCCTACAACTCTTTGGTCAATGGCTATTGCAAGGCGGGAAAACCCCAAACAGGGCATTCCATGTTGAAGAAGATGTTTGATAAAGGAATCTCCCCAAACGTTGTGACGTATACATCCTTGATAGATGGGTATTGCAAGGAAGGGGAAGTACAAAAGGCGCTTAGCCTTTTTCATGAAATGCTGGGTAAAAACGGCATCACCCCAAACGAGTACACTTTCACCGCGATCATATCTGGTCTGTGCAATGCCAACTTGGTTGGAGAGGCAAGAAAAATCTTCGATGACGTTTCAAGCCCAAATGAGATCACATATAATGTCATGATCGAAGGGTATTGTAAAGCAGGAAACATAACCATTGCCCTTCAACTGTTTGATGAAATGTATGAGAAGGGTCTTGTCCCCGATACATACACTTATAGGTCACTCATATCCGGTCTTTGCTCTTTGGGCAAAGCAAAGGAGGCAGAAAAAATCATGGCAGATCTTAAAAGAGAAAACTGTAAACCAATCCAGATGTGCTTGTCTGCTCTTGTCCATGGTCTCTTTATATCCAGAAGAGTCAAAGATGCATTTGCCACCACTGATGGGATGAAGATGGATATCGTTTGTTACGGTGCACTCATAGACGGGGCATTAAAGCATGATAAGAAACAATTAATGAGGATATTGAAGAAGATGCATGAAGAAGGATTGAGTCCAGACAATGTGATATACACCAACATCATTGATTCATACGGGAAAGACGGCGATCTTTGGAATGCGTTTGGCTGTTGGGAAATTATGGAGAGTGAAGGGATCATTCCAAACGTGCAAACATACACTGTGATGATAAATGGTTTGTGCAAAGTGGGATTAGTTGATAAAGCTGAGGCCTTTTGCAAGGAGTTGTTTTCCGTTGGTTTGATGCCAAACAAGTTTACTTATGCTTGTTTTCTTGACTGGTTAACCCGAGTTGGGTCGATAGAAAAAGCTGCGGAGTTGCATAACACAATGCTCAAGGGCTTTCTTGGAAGTGTTGTGACTTATAATATACTCATTCGGGGTTTTTGTGAATTGGGCGAAATTGATAAAGCTACTGATACATTAGTTGAAATGAGAGAGAGAGGGATGTTTCCTGACTGTGTCAGTTATTCCACTGTCATTAATGCATTCTGTAGGGGAGGTGATTTAGAGGAAGCGTTAAGGTTGTGGGGGTCCATGATTGGTGGTGGGGTCCAGCCCGATAGGGTGGCTTATGATATTCTAATATATGGTTGTTGTGTTGCTGGAAAACTGGATAAGGCAGTTAGGTTGCGTGATGAAATGGTAAGTAGGGGTCTAAGGCCCAATAAGAGAACACAGGCTTTACTGCCCCATTCAACGTTTCTATAGAGATACTTGATCCACGATCTATATGACGATCCATGATCTTCGACAGGGTAGCCCGCATGAGCCGAGCGGAGCCTCTCCCTTGTGCCCAGCCAGAACCAAGATTTAAGATCCGGAGATCGCTCGTCTAGACTTCTTGGCGGTAAACCAAGATATTGGCGGGAAGCGCATTTATTGCAATAGATTTGGTGGTTCGGAAGCTAGCCACTCGCACTCCTCCACATCATCAGTATTATCTACCTCTTGGTATTATAAATAGTAACATTTATTTCATTGTAAAGGGTTAGACAACTTATTCCCTCTAACAACAGCAATTATTTCATTGCTAGATTAGACGATCAACCCAGAGCGGTCTGTAGAAGAGTGTGTTGTAAGAGTCCTTATTCAGAGTAATAAGATACGAGCCCACTTACTAGAATTAATTTATTGTTTGTCCATTTGCTGCTTGTATTAACTCATCCCTCATAGTCCGCCATACACTTAGGGGTGCCCATATTTATATTTTGATTGAACGTATTTTAACTGAGTATAATTTGATTGATAAGGTGTTTGCTATAGGTTTTGATAATGCTACTAATAATACTGCTACTATACCTAGATTGCGTGAATTGTGTGTTTCTAATACTTTGATGGGTAGATTTTTCATCACCGATGTGCATGCCATATTATAAATTTATGTGTGCAAGATGGTATAAAAGCGTTAGGAGATGCTATGGAGGTAGTCAGGGGGGGGGGGGGATTAGACGTATTTGGGGCAATGGTCAACTTAAATTAAAATGACAAAATTATTTGATTGAAAGAGGTGTGAAATATGTTGCTTTTCCTAAAGATTTGTCTATTCGGTGGAATAGTACTTATAAATTAATTAAAGTTCTTCTTAGATATAAAGAACATTTTCCTGCTTTTTAAGACAATATGATAACTATATTTTAAACTCCGCTCACATCGACACTTGCGAAAAAATTTGTAATGTTTTGATATATTTTAATAATGCAACTGATAGTTTTAGTCATGTTTATAAACCTACCTCAAACGAATTTATTCGTGAAGTTGTTAATCTCGCTGGTGCTTTTAATGAATTTGAGAATGCCGCTTACATGAGTTATTTTTGTGGTTTTATGAAGGGAAAATTTTAAAATATTATGCACATATTCCGCATATTTATGGTATTGTATTTAACTATTTATTCTCGATCCTCGTTATAGACTTGGTAATTTGGAAGAATGTTTGAAGTTCTATTATAATGCTTTTTTGGTCCATTTTCAATGTATGACGATAATGCCATAGATCCGCAAGTTGAATACAACGAGGTTAGTAATTTATTTTATGCCTTATTTAATGAGTTTCGTGCACAATATGGCAATGTGCCAATGTGCCCCCTCCCCCGACACACACATCTTCATCTAAAGGAAAATCACTTTTTAAATCTGCTTTTGGCAATCTTATGAAAAAACCTAAAACAACTCACACTACTGAACAAAGCGCACTTAATGAGATTTCTTTGTATAGAAATTATGAGGTAGAATTTGATGAAAATGAGGAGTTTGACGTTCTAAAGTGGTGGAAGTCAAAAGAAAGAATGTTCCCGATTTTGGCACGGATGGCTAAGCAAGTGCTATCAATGTCGGTTTCAACAGTTGCCGTGGAACAAGAATTTAGTTCGGCCGGCAACGTTCTAACGGCATCTAGAACGAGTTTGAGCGCTGAGTCTCTTGAGACGCTTATATGCTACCACGATTGATTGAAGGTCATACGTAGATGTCAAGAAATTAGCATCACCCCCTCCCAAGACTTTATGGATGAATCAACAACCGAGGTCCGAGGATGGCTCCTATGCCGAAGATTCCGATTGATTAGTATTTTACAATTTATTATAGAATGTATTTCATGTTTTAATTTTTTCTTCAATTCTCTATTGTAATTTGTAAAGTTGTACACTGGTACTTCATATTTCAAATAAATATACATTCTTTTTTTTTATGTAGCACTTCTCAAATTAATTAATTAATTGGTTACAAACTTACAACTTAGAATTTATCGTGTTAGTATTTTTTGAAAAATGTATTTTATATTTAAGTTGTATTAATAAGTAAAAAAAAAATTACATTGGCCCGACCCAACCCGGCGGGTGGCCCGGCCCGAACTGGCACCGAGCAAAGGACGGGCCGGTTCCGGGCCCCCTATTCCAGGACCAGAGGCCTGACCGGGCCTAGGACCGGCCCGACCCGAACCAGCCCGAGTCCAGGACTAAGTGGGACGGAGGTAGTACATTTCATTATAAATCTACGGCATTAGTTATTTATAATATTAATTTTTTTTAAATAAAAAACCGCCCGAACTGGCCCAAGACCGGACCTGGGCCCGGTCCAATATAATCTGGGTCAGTTCCGGGCTTCACCTTTCATGGACCGGAATCCACCTAAAGACCGTGATCCACCTAAAGATTGAAATAGTCAATCTTTACACAGTACAAATCTTCATTCAGATGTGATTCTCGAAATCAAAATTAGAATACACTGTCACATAAAGTATGTAATGTTTCTTGAAACACGTGCATGATTGAAATATTACACAGTCCGTATTAATTAAGCATACTTCGCTGCAAGTGCTAGTCTTCAATTGGTTAAACCGTAAGTGTAATTAAAACTAGAGCTACCCAAGATATAAAGCCATGTTGTGAATGAAGTAACTTAGTAATGTGAATTAAAGAGAGACGTCCCAAATCATGCCTCGGCTTTTGGTCTCATAAACGGGAAGGTATACTCCCTCCAACGCCAGCCATATGTTATCCGGTTTCTTCTCTTTTACACCACAAACCTGCATTACGAACAAACATTAAACAGCCACATTTCGGATTGTGTGGGGTGGTTTTAGGTTTTAACCAATGGATAGTATTAGGAGTTTGGAGTAAAACATTGAGTGAATTAGCCCATTAGGGCCAGTTGATAACATTACCATACCGGTTTATATATATATATAGAGAAAACTTCATGTCCAGCCGGCCTGACGGGAACCGCCGTCCGGCCGAGGACATTTCGGGCACTTCCCGATCGAATTTTTTGATGAAATTTTTTGAGCATGTTCTTCATCAAGTCTAGTTTATCCATACCAAAATTCGATCGGGAAGGCATTCAAATAATTTTTTGAAGTTGACTGGTTTTTTATATGTATACTTTGACGCAGTCAACTTCAAAAAATTATTTGAATACCTTCCCGATCGAATTTTGAGCTGAAATTTGGTATGAATAAACTAGACTTCATGAAAAACATGCTCAAAAAAATTTATCAAAAAATTTCATCGAAAAGTGCCCGAAATGCCCTCGGCCGGACGGCGGTTCCCGTCAGGCCGGCTGGACAAGAAAAGGACTCTCTCTCTCTCTCTCTCTCTCTTTATATATATATATATATATATATATATATGGAGTGATTCCGGTGAGAAAGAACTCTCAGGAGAGAAATGAGAATGAATCTGAACCGTTGGATTGTATTATGTGAAATTGAATTGTGTAATTGATAAAAATGAAATGTGCATCAAGTGAAATTGAAATGTGTAGAATGAAAAGTAAAACTCAAATGTGCATTACGTGAAAGTGAAATGTGCAGAATAAAAGACACAAAAATTCCACTGCATTGTAGTTTTTATTCTACACATTTCAGTTTCACCTAGTACACATTTCAGTTTCCCCTAATGCACAATTTAGCTTCACATAACATCACTGTACCTTACCTTTTGTGGTGCATATTTCGATTTCACCTTATGCACATTTCAGTTTCACGTAATGCACATTCAATTTCACACAATACAATCTAACAGTCTACATTCATTCTCATTTCTCTCCTAAGATCATTTTCTCACTTGAACCCAATTCTCTCTCTCTCTCTCTCTCTCTCTATATATATATATATATATAGAGGGAGGTTCAAATAAAAAGTACTCCTTATATGAAAAATGAGAAGTAATCTTAGCCGTTAAAATGAGTTAATGAATGGATCCGATCAACTTTGAAGTGGAAAATTCGGTGCCAATAGTGTAAATATTAGAAAATTCGGTGCCAATAGTGTAAATCATAATTGTGCATGACTACGGAGAAAAAGTGCATTTGAGTAACACAAAAGTGCATCCTTTCCGGAAATATGTTATTTTTTTAGGAGCTGAATGTGCACTCTTACATATGACATATGCACTTTTACTATTGTGTATTACACAGTTCGGTTTACCGTGAGGTTTGATCTATTCCATCCATTTTTAAGTAATCAAAGGCTTAAATTACTACCCACTTTTCATGGGAAGACCTCTTTTTATTAGAACTCACCCCTATATATATATAGAGTTTGGTTCAAATAAAAAGTACTTCCTAAGTGAAAAACAAGAACTAATCTTGGTCATTGCTGTGAAAAAATGGATGGAAGAGATCAATTTTTAGGTTGGAAACGCGGTGGCATATTTGTAATTATGGAGAACTTTTATTGAAAATATTGTGACAAATGTGCATTAGAATAGTCGAAAAGTGCACATGTAGAGCACAAAAGTGCAATCCGGTACAAAATAAAAAGGGCACAAGCTGGAAACAATTTAATATTTTTTTTTGACACGCATGAGTGTAAATGTTTGCACATTTTTTGAAATAATCTCTTTTGTTTAAAGTTCATCTAATCCATCCATTTTCAAGTGATGGAAAGCCAAGATTTATTCTCACTTTTCATGGGAAGACTACTTTTTCTTGAACCCACCCCTATAGGGTATGGTTCATGTGAGAACACTCTCTCAGGAGAGAAATAAGAATAAATGTTGATCATTTAAAATCTCAAATCAAGGGTATTAGATCCTTAAGTGGAACGGTGGCATAAATGCAAATATGCACAACTTCAAACCACTAATGGAGAGGTATCACGTTAACATTGAATCATTAATGCACCATTACTATCAATAATATTTTAGATGCTTTCAATTGAAACCACTTAAGTCCAATATGGATATGTTCAGAAAAGTCTACCCACGTGTCATTTCAATATAGATATGTTTGGTTATATTATTATATACCATATTTTATTAATACTACAATTTTCTATTTAGTTTATTTTGTTCTTTTCCAATTTTTTTAGTGCACTTATATTATTTTTTTATTGTGCAACTTTATAAACTTATGATTAGTTAGGCGATGCTTTTGGTGAGATTTGTCACGTAATAAATGAGAATGACCTAAAACGTACTATGCACATTCGGGTTAATGATGTTGCACATTTATGATAAACATAATGCATAATTTAAAGCGGTATAACAATTTAATTTATTTAAAAAATGTAGCGGCACTTTGTGATTCATGACAAGCATATTTCTATTTCAAATCATGCATAATTGTTACGATCAGATTCATTTTGGGTTATTATCAAAATAGGACTAAAAGTCACTCACTTTGCACAAATAGGACCAAAAAATAAACTATGTTTTCATAGGACTAATTATGTGTGTCTTAGACAAATATACCCTTATAGCTATTGAAATGTTTTAATTCATAATAAAATTAAAAAAATTATAAAAAAATCATAAAAAATACTACAATAAAGATAATTTAAAAAATAAATAAAAATATTTAAATAAAAATAATTTTAAAAAATTTAAAAAAAAATAAAAAAATTAAAAAGAAACACACAAAAAAATCACAGCTGCCTCTGCTGCCCCAACACCACCATATTTTTTACATAGTACAAGCGGTGGGAAAGACATCCATATTTTTTTAAATTTTTTATCATGGAGTTTTACTATTTTTTATTATTTTTTTTTTAAAAATATTTTTTAAATTTTTTTTATCAATAAATATTTTATTGATTTTTTAATTATTTTTCTATGAATCTTTGAATTTTTTTCGGATTTATTATTAATTAAACATATACGGAGTAATTATTACTTTGGACTATCTTTTACTCATATTTAAAGGAGGTGTAAGAATGGAATGAAAAAATAGGTATGTTTTCAATAGGACCAATATGGTCCTATTTTGGAATAAAAACATAGCAAGTCCTATTTTGAGTTTTTGTCATAGTTTTAGTCCTATTTGGAGTAATTTCAAATTCATTTTCTTTCCTCTTTTATGATATGACTTTGATGGGAACTGTTACGGTTTTTCACGTGATAAATGAGAATGACTTACAACTATGCACATCTTGATTAATGATGTTGCACATTTATGATAAACATAATGCACAATTTAAAGTGGCATAGCAATTTAATTTATTTGAAAATGTAGTTCCACATTAATTTATTTTAAAGTGGAATTTAATAGTATTTTTCAAAAAATTAATTTATAATACATTAACAAATAAAATGTAAATTAAGTATATTATGCAAAATTCACCAATGTTGCAACTAAATAAGAACGAAAGTAGTATATTAAGTTTAAATAAACTTTATAATAGTTTTTTTCTAACATGAGCTATTATTAATATTGTTTTTGTTGTTGTCATTATTATTATTATTATATTATTAATTGTTAGATTACTATTAATTTTATATATATACATATATGTATCTTTACTTATTTACTTTTAGTTTAAATTACACATAACCGTGTTATTTATTTATTTATTTATTTATACTATTATTTAAATAGTACTAATACTAATAGTGAGAGTAACAATATGGATAATAAAATAATTATTACTATTATTATTTATTCATTTATGCTTGCTATTATTTTTGTTTTTGTTTATTATTATAATAAAGTAGTTAACGGGAGGAGTGGAATTAGATAGTAGGTTGGAGTTTTAAAACACATACAAAAAACCAATATAAAAATACTATTGAAAGTGACTATTTCACTTTTGACTAATTGACAAAAAAAGTCAAATAAAAAATTCATTGACTAAACAGAAATAATAGCCGTTTGATTATGTCAAGCAACCAAAGCAATCGAAAAAAAGCTATAAAAAGGGCTGATAGGTTTACCACAAACCGTCTTTCTCTTGTGTGTGGGTCATACCTCTTCATTTTTTCTCTTATGGAGAAACATATAAAAGGAATGAGAGCCCCATTCAGTAGCCTTTAGTTTTGGCTACTAACCGCATGAGCAAAACTTTCAATTTCAACAACTGCTAACTTTATTTTGGCTTATTGTTGTGTTGGTTGAACTGACTAGTAATGACTATTTGTGGTGAATGACTGCAATGGATTAGTTGAAACTTTAAGCTTGTACTTCGAGATATTACTCTTGTCTCTAAATTCTCTTCAGCAACTTTAACAATTCAGCTGATTCAGTCACCCCAATCAATTTAGTTTTAACCTTATCAAAATGAGCTCATCTATTTCTACTCTCTTCATTTCCTTTTAATTTCTCATCTACTAAACAACAAACAATAGCTACCGTATTTCTCTCTTCAATCACTTTCTTAAGGGGGGTGTATTGTTTGGGGACTTTTAAGACATTTTAGGACTGTCAAAGTTTTGAGGTATTCATTCGAGACATTTAGACTCTCAAAATGTCATGGTGTATTTAAAACATCAACAAAACTTTGGATTCTCTTTTGGATTAGGATTTGGTGGGACTTTACTCAAAAAATACACTACGAAATCTCATTATCAAGTCTCACGTGTATATATGAGATTTACGAGAGTAGTCATGGAAAGCCCAAAAGTGAAGAACCACAATTCACCGCTTGCAAAACTCCATCGTTGAATCCCAATTTTATGTGCATCGATTGGACTCTGGTGTACCTGTCGTCGTTTCCGAGTAAAATTTCCAGTGTGGAAGTTGGACGCGAGTACGCGACCAGATCTGGCACAGATAAAACTCCGGTCGTGGCAGAGCAATCTCTGGCGCGAGGAAGAACAAGGCACGGGCTAGCGATCCAAAGGCTTGGCTTCCGGATCCGAAAGAGGCTACCGTGAGCAGGAAGCTTGATTGGCACAGCCGAAGCGAATTTTCAGTTGGGAAATGGACTCTCCTTGGAAACGAAAATCACAGCTACCCCAACTTGTCTTCAAGGTCGACTTAGGGAAGACCGAAATGTTTTAAAATGTCCCAAAATGTTTTAATGAAGTCCACATATGTACAGAAAAGTCTATTAGAATCCCTAAATGTTCTAAAATTTCTCAAATCTCTAAATGTTTTAAAATGTCCCAAATCAATACACCCCGTTAGTCATTTCTCTTTTTCCCCCTTAAAATATAGAGAAAAGAACCCTTACTGACCTCTTGCTGACCTCCAGCTATGCGGGTGTACTTCTTGTTGTGGCTGTGTAAATACCCTCCAGTATCCACATGATGAAACCTGACCTTTTGATCTTGCCTCCATGTTTTTCCACTTCCCTCTATTTCAAGCCTTTAAAAGAATTTTAAAAAAAGATTAGAATATTAATCCATAACATATTCGGGAGGGTTAGTAAAAAAGATGGAGGTCACCGTGTTTTCCTACTTCCATGTTAGTCCCCATACCTCCAGAAGTCCCCTGTATCAGACTTGTTGTCATCCCCATAGCAGCTCACCTGCATATTTCTCTAATTAATTGCAGTTCCACAGCATTGAGGGCTAGTTTGGAATACCTAGAGTGGTATTGAAAAAAGTGATAAATATGCTATGGAAGCGGCTGTGCATCAACTTAAGCTAAAATAGCTTCTATTAAGACCAAAAGAATGCATGGATGTTGATCAACTAACCTCCATGTTTCCGGATATTGGAGATGCATGCAAGTGGCTGTGCAGCCATCTCCGAGTCCTCATATGTTGCAGTCTGATAATAGACCCAGTTTTAATAGCATCTCCTTGCTTTGCAGAAGAGTCTGGATCAGGCTTAACAACCTAATGAATAAAAGACCAATATCATCAACTTCAATTATTGTTGTATGATTAGGATTTAGGACCCGTTTGGTAGCACTAATCAGCTTATTTTGCTTACCAGCAGAATGATACCAAAGAAGCACTTAAATTATTTAATTATTTGGTTGAGACAGATTTCATCAAATGATTTTCCTTTTAGAAAATTTAGGAGATTTAGCAATTTCATATTTTCAGCCAATGACCATATGCCAAACAGGCCCTAAGAGGAGCGATATGTGACCTACCCAATAGCTATTAGCATCATCTACACTAGGAAAACCTGTGACCGACTGCTGCCCACTGCCTGAACCATATGGCACATCATGTGAATGCAGCCGGACCTTTGTCTTCTCATGCATCAATTTGATTGTTGACCCGTAAGTAATCTACAAAACAATTACATACCGTCCTTAATCATTCGGAATGAAAAACACCAACAATTTCTGCCAAAATACATTGCTTCATTGGTTATATCCCGTACTTCTCTCCTCCCGTTTTGGTTTTCCTATTTTTTCCTTAAAAGTTAAGTGGCGTATAACACACCGTTCCACTTTCTTAATTTATGTCTCATGTCCAAACTTGATAAGCCGCAGGGAGAAGTTCGGAATTTTGATTCCGTATCAGGAAAGGAACCACATAAATTCGCACTATATTCACATCGATTCCAAAATTCAATCAAACAATTGAAAATAAAAACATTGCTTAGAGAAACAATGGATTGAGTCTCCCCAATATTACGCGTGCAATTTTTCATATCAAATCAAAAGTAACCCTTTTGTACGGAAACTTAGTAAAACTACTTCACGGTTTGACAGTTTAATGCTCGGAACTGCTAAATGTTACGGTGAGAGACTTACCTGGACACCTTCAGATGCGGCGGATGTAGGGATGATGGAGTAATCGGACCCGAGGGTGAGGAGGAGAACGGTAGCCACGGGGAAGCAAGAGAGCGCCATAACCAACAACACTACTATGAACCAGGTCTTTTGCCAAAACGGAATGTCCGAACGGGGGTATCGGATCCACAGTACACTGACGGCGGTGCGGATTTCCTACGGCTGAGATTCTGGCGTTGCCGTTGTATTTGGCTTGATGCAGCCACGGTTGCTATAGGAAGCCGTCTTCGATGACCTTTGATTCCGGCTTCTTTTGTCTTCGTATTCTGGCAGAGCCAACCAGATCAATCCACGTAGACTGATATAGTTTGGTGCCAGGTAAGGGTCAGATTCATAAGCATGAAAAGGGTCAAATAAGTCCTTATATAAGAAGCTCTGTCCGACCGTCGCCATACAGAGAAAAATTGTAAATAAATAATGATGAACATTAGAAGTTAATAAAGCAGAAATTTACAAATTGTTGAAGACTTTGTGTACAACATTTTCTTTGTAGTTTTTCATTTTTCTTCATCGAATATCACAAATTTTAAATCAAACAGATTTATCATCCTCGAACCCACAACATACAATTGTGCACCCTATCATAATATATGCATGTATACACAAATTTAAAGATCAAATACTCGTATATTTCTCTTATTATTAACATATAAGTTAGTGTGTGAATGCGAGAGTATAAAAATGTAAACTCTCTTAGGTATATTCTTTAGAAAAAGAATAATATATCTACCACCAACAATCAACCAAGATACTCAACATAGTTACATGCTCAAAAGATTAAAGTTCTCATTGTTATGAAAAAGAAAGATAACTTGGGAAATAAGAATTGAGGATCTAGTTTACACTTAATAGGAATACAATAAAGAAACCTCAATTTTCTAAGCCAATTTCCAATAAATACTATTGTAACACTTGACATTTAATATAAATAGATTAATAATACTACTCATACCAACAGAGGTGCATCTCCTTTTAAAGGAGATCATCACCCAAGAACTCCAAAGTTAAGCGTGCTTGCACGGGAGTAGTCTTGGGATTGGTGACCCTAGGAAAGTTCCTCAGGGCGCGCATGAGTGAGGACAAAATGCGTGGTAAAGGCTCGTGGTGGTTTGTGGGGACATTACTATTGGTCCGGAGTAACTACCTCGGGTCCTGCGGGCCCGGGGTGTTACAGGTGGTATCAAAGCAACCCTGTGACAGTGTGCTGACCCGTTGGATATCGGACGGGCGCTTAGCGGGGGAGTATTCTGGGATTGGATTGAGATTTGAGATTGGTTTATGGGCGCAACGAGGACGTTGCGATCCTAAGTGAGGGTGATTGTAACACTTGAGATTTAATATAAATAGATTAATAGTACTACTCATACCAACAGAGGTGCATCTCCTTTTAGGGAGATCATCACCCAAGAACTCCAAAGTTAAGCGTGCTTGCACGGGGCTAGTGGCGGTTTGTGAGGAGAGTACTAGGGGTCCCGAGTAACCACCTCGGGTCCTGCGGGGCCGGGGTGTTACAACTATTCTATCTCAAGCCTGGCAATCATAGGTGAATCATAATTCTATTTTCACGTGCCACGCTAGACTATCCTCCCAGGTTACCCAGCTTTGTGATTTTCCTATCTGGTTTTGCATTATTCCTCTTATGTTGGACTGGCCAAGACCGCAAATTTCTGTCTGGAGAAAGCTCATCTATCAACCTTTTTATAACAAATGCAGATCAAAAGAAAAACATGAAATAAAGTAAAATATGTTCCACTTACAGTGCTTTTTAGATCTGATTCATCTAAAAAGTGATAACATCATAGAAAAGAGAATACAAAGAAAGCAGAGGCTATTGATAACAACTTCAAAACAGTTTTAGCTGGTGGTGGAGGTGGGACATATGGCGGGGATGCTGCTAGGATAGTGAGATTTTAATAAGTAAATATGAATTTGGTCTTCTAGCTAAACCTTTAACTATTTTGCTCATTATCTCATAAAATGGTTCCTTATCAAATACATTTTTGAGATGCCAGACAAAAAATACATCATCTTGTAAAAGTAAGAAACCTTCAACTATTTTTGAGTTCATTATCTCATAGCCAAATGGTTTACTGTATAAGTAAAAAGTACAACATCTTTTCCCAGCATAGTCATTAACAGAAGTAGCAGAAGTAAATACCTACAACCTACCCCCAATTTGTTTTGTATTTGACTTATCCAAAATCTTTTCTAATGCTTCAAATTTCAGCATTTCAAAGGTAAAATGATGTTCAAAAACATAATTAAAGCACACACTATCACATATATCCTTTTTCTTGGGATTATTTTATCGACCAAATAAGTTTTAAGGGGAGCTTATAGCAACCCCTCCTAAGTACAATAAATCAACTGAACGGTTTTTAGAACACATTTGGATGAATGAAATCTAAGTCTGGAGGTGGTGATATTTTTTAGGGAAAACTACAGTAAACGTACTTGTGGTTTGGGGTGTTTTCAATTCGAGGCATGAGATTCATTTCTTGACAACCACGGGCGCGTGATTCCACTCCGTTATCTCACCCGGGGCACCGACCTTACGACGTTAGTAATAACTGACGTGGCATCATTTATTTGGCCACGTCCGCTCCAACACATGATTTACTTGGAATTGAATTTAGAATTAAACACCATGCTTTATTCTTACAATTTAGGTTTAATAAGGACGAAAGCTTCAGTGTATGTCAGCGCCGGTGACCGTGGGTCGATTTTGCTGGTGAAGTGACATAAGAAGACGGCGACCGGTAAACAGCTGGTGTTTCTGTGAAACGTAAGTAAAGCATTTGAGCTTTTCTTTTTGTACTGAATGTTTAAGTTTCTAGAGTGGATTGTGTGTTAAATTCATAGGTTGCAATGTATAATTTGTGGTTAATTTCAAATGTATAAATGTATGTATAGGTCGGAATGACAGAGTATGTGAACTTGGTTATTCACCATGGTGGTAAATGGGACTGTGCAAAAAAGAAAAGGGAATATTTGGGGGGTGAGGTGACCAAAAAGGAAAAGGTAGACATTGACTACCTCAGTAAGTTCGAATTGGATGGGTATGCAGAGGACTTGGGCTATAAAGATGGTGTACAAATATGGTTCAGAAGGTTTGCAATTAAAGATGTATGTGGCCCAGCTGCTTTACAAGAAATTGAATGTGATAAGGATGTACATGACATGCTTCTTTCCAACATAATGGACCCATACATTGAATTTTTTTTTGTCTCAAAGAAGAGTCCAAAAGGGAAAGGGAAAGCAAAAGTACCAGAAGGCCCCTCAAACCCTTCCCAAAGTGCAGATGCGACCCCAAATTGTGATTCAACTCCATGTACTGATATAGCCATAACCTGTGATGCAAGCCCTTTTTTACAACCACTCATCCGTGTGGAGTCAACCCACACTCCATTACAATCCCAGCCTGAACCTCAGGGTCTTCATGCATTTCTACAAGCACAATACCACAGTGATACTAAAGATGAAGATTACCAACTGTCAAGTAGTGTGAGTGAATCTAGTTCTGAAAAGCGGTCTCTTTCACATGTTAGTCAAGATGAAGCAAGCTGGTTATATCAAGATCTAGAAGGCAGTGAAGATGAAGTTTTTCAGGATTTGATCAGTGAAGATGAAGCACCCCAGTTTAATGAAGTTCATGATGAGGGATATACACCTGACTTTAATGAAAACACTGTGGTTGACCAAGACTTAGATGAGTTCAATGAAGAGGCAGCCTACAGTGATGACCTTCAAAGCTATAATGGATCTTCAGATGATGAGGGAAATACTCCTGATTTTAATGCAGACAATGGATCTAAACATGGTGATTTGTGCAAAGGTATGAGATTCACATCACATGTGGAATTCAGAAAAGCTTTAAAGGAGTGGGCTGTTAAAAGTGCATTTGATTTCAAGTATGTAAACAATAGAAGAGCTAACATCACTGTGGTCTGCAAAAATAAGGAAACTTGTTCATTCCGGGTTCATGCATCAAAACTGAGTGATTCTGGATATTTCCAAATAAAGACTTTCAGGCCCAAACATGAGTGTTCCTTTAGTAATCGAAATAGTCTAGTGACAAGCACCTATTTGAGTGAGAAATTTCTTGATGAGTTGAGAGACAATCCAAACTGGATGTTTTAGCAATGCAAAAGACAATTCAAAGGCAACTTAGGGTGCAGGTCAGTCTTGCCATGTGTTATAGAGCGAGAGTTAAAGCAAAGGCCAAGATTGCAGGTGATATCACAGAGCAGTACAGGAGATTAAGAGATTATGCTGCTACTGTCCTTAAGTATAATCCAGGTAGTCTTGTCAAGATTAAAACTGAGGTACTCTCTGAGGAGGTCCAACAAGCAGCTGTGAGTGAGGCAGTTCCTTCAATACCCAAAGAGGTCACAATATTTCAATACATGTATATGAGGTTCACAGCTCAGAGACAAGGCTACTTTTCAGGTTTAAGACCCTTAATCTGCTTGGATGGGTGCCATGTGAAGACTTCAATGGGAGGACAACTTCTATGTGCAGTTGTCAGGGATGGAAATGAGAATATGTTTCCCCTGGCTATTGCATATGTTGACAGCGAAGACAAAGCTTCATGGACTTGGTTCCTACAGGTTCTCTTTGAAGACTTTGGAAGACCAGAAGAGACTAAGTGGACTTTCATGTCTGACAAATAGAAGGTAAGGACTGTTTGCACTCATGCTCTTTTAATTGTGTTTTTTTTGTAACTTATAATTGCTTACTATGTATATTTTGTACATGTACACTTATTTCAGGGGTTACTTGAGGCTTTTAAGGCTGTCAATCTATTGAATGAGCATAGATATTGCTTAAAACATATGTATGAGAACTATATGAAGGTTTTCAGGGGTGGGGAGTACAAGAAAAAGTTGTGGTTAATAGCAAGCACTGGAAGTTTAAGGTCCTGGCAAAGACATATGGAAGCCATTAAGAGTTTTGATGAGGCTGCCCATACTTGGTTGCTGCAATATGACCCTAGGACTTGGAGTAGGGCTCATTTCTCACCACACACCCAGTCAGATGCTCTACAAAACAACATATGTGAGTCTTTCAATTCTTACATTCTTAGAGCTAGAGATTTGCCTATCCTAAGTATGTTTGAATGGATTAGAAAACGGTTAATGAAAAGGTTTCATGTGAAGTACACTGGGATGGTGAAATACAAGGGGGCAATCTGTCCTAACAAACAAGACCTTCTAGAAAAATACAAGTATGAGAGTAGGAATTGTTTTTGCACACCAGCTGGTGACAAGCTTTATGAAGTAGAATATTTTGATAGAAGCTATGTGGTCAACTTGAATGAAAGAAGTTGCACATGTAGAATGTGGGATTTAAATGGTATCCCCTGCAAACATGGAGTGTCTGCTATTTATGCCAATAGAGAAAAACCTGAGGAGTATGTGAGTCCTTATTACTCAAAAGAAACCTACCTGGCTGTGTATAACCATATGATCCACCCTGTCCCTAGTAAAGAAGAGTGGGAAACCACTGACTACCCTGACATCAAGGCACCCATTCCAAGAAAGCCAGCTGGTAGACCAAAGAAAAAGAGAATTAGAGCTCCTGAAGAAACAAGGAATCCATATAAGGTTTCTAGGTCTGGGAAACAGGTTGTTTGTGGTAATTGTAAGCAGGTGGGCCATAATGTAAGAGGATGTAAGACATCCCTTACAGGAGAAACCCCATGGCAGAGAAGAATGAGGCTAAGAAAACAAAAGTCTTCCACAGGAGGAGGCCAAGAACCTGATGCTCATGAAGCTGAAAATGCAGATTCTCATGTCAACACTCAGGTTGTGCAGACCACCAGTGAATCAGTCCCCATTGCTTCCACTCCAAATGCAACAAGTTCAAGAAAAAGAAGAAATACTTCTAGTTCTCAACCACAACAAACTTCATCAAGAAGAATTACCAGATCTTGCAGTTCACAACCACCACAGTCCCTGGTATGACTTAATGGTGTGACATTAATGACCTTTAAATCAGTGCTTGTATAACTATTAAAATTGTTGTTTATGTGTGCAGGACAAACATTGTTGAACATGGGGGTGCTTCAATTTGAATAGATGTCATATAATTGCTGAGAAGATGTCTGGGCTTAATGTTATTGTGATGTAATTGTAATTGTAACTATGATGAATGTAGCAGACAATTTGTAATATCAGATGGATTGGTTTTTGCAGTTATTTTGCTGAAATGTAATGTGTACTATGTATTGGATGGATTTTAGCAATGAATGTATGGTCTGTCTGGGCACACATTGCTTTGGTTTATCTTAAAAGGCTGGAACTGTGTACTTGTTGTTTTGGATGGAATCAAATGAGTATGGGTCAGATTGTTATGTTTCAGTATAATATGTCAGATTGTTATGTTTCAGTATAATATGATGTTCCTATTATACTTACAATTGGATGTTCATCAGATTATTATGTTTCTTTGCTTTATCTTGCAGTGGGATGTTCATCAGATTATTATGTTTCAGTATGGGATTGCTAATCTGATGTGTCCTAGTAGGATGTATTAGGGAGTCAAAGATGATAATAAACATGACAATAAAGAACAACAGCTTAGGGACTCAAACACTATCATTCACATTTGATTTGCTTGTCATCTAATATGCTTCCATAATGGCTTAAACCCATTTTGCAGAAATCCCTCAGTGGGATATGTAAACACATATGATGCCACTGAATAAGATAATAAACAACAAAAGCTTCAAAAAGACCATAAGCTTCATAACCAAATTCATAATCTTCATTATAACAATACAACCAAATTCAACAACCAAATCAGTACCCACATACAACCACACAAGAACTAAACATCTGCTAAAGAAAATGACAATTAATTGAGACTGAAGTTTGAGTGACACATTTTATCAAACACATGGCAACCTTACACACCTAATATATCCTACTTCCCAACAAGATGATAACCAACAACCCGAACCACACTACATTCCAGGAGAAAGTCTTATTGCCTTTCTTTGACATCTTAAGTTCCTCTTCCATATTTTGGAGTTTCAAAAGCCCTATCCCACGAACACAACTCTTGATTTCAGCTTGCATCTCCAATTCTTTCACTCGGAAATTGTCTTCAACACTGGTAATCTTCTGGAGCAAAGTATCTATCCGTCTCAAACAAGTAACACATTCTTCATCCTCAACCCATTCAAAAAAATTGCACTTTTGAGCACTCAAGAAATGACCGCACCCATGAAATCTTTTCCCCCTGTTTTTGTCTGTCGTAGCAGTCCACACTGGTGCTTGGAGTCCACACTCACACCTCTTAATTCGTCTTCTTCCATCCATCCACTGGGACTCAGCGCTCGAAGAACTCATCGCCGTCTTACTCGCCTTTCTTTTTTTCCTTCACCGACGTCTTAAGGACAGCCTTAAACAAGAGGCTGGAGGGTTTTAATAATCAAGCAGAAAAGATAAGCCACGTGTATATGCGTAGATGAACCATTTCAAATTTCACCGTTAAAAATTTTGCCACGTCAGTTATTACTAACGTCGTAAGGCCTGGTGCCCCGGGTGAGATAACGGAGTGGAATCACGCGCCCATGGTTGTCAAGAAATGAATCTCATGCCCCGAATTGAAAACACCCCAAACCACAAGTACGTTTACTGTAGTTTTCCCTTAATATTATATCTATATATTAAGTAATTTGTGATCAATTCTATCAATCGTGTTTATGATAGAGTCTGATTGCATTTCGTATGATTGAGGCATTGTTAGGTCGAATTGGGGATTTGTATTAATCGAGTCAAAAAAAATATCAAACACAAGTGTGAATATTAATATTGTATCTATTTATTAAGTTATTTGTGATCAATTGTATAAATCGTGTTCATGAGAGACTGTGATTGCATTTTGGATGATTTTAGGTCGAATTGGGGTTTAAATAAGCCTACAAATATTAAAACATTTTTATATTTGATTATTTTTCGTATTTTATGTTTAAATATTTCTATGTATACTATGTGTGTATATGTAAAAACAATTATAACTATAATTATATATCACGGGTCGGGTCCAAAATGGGTCGGAACTTATAAATCCATGTCCGACCCATTTTCTTTATCATATAACGGGCTCGGGTCCGGATCTGGTGAACGGTTCTAAAATTAGACCCATACTCTCAAATAAAGAATCGAATTCTGATCGGGTCTGGGTCTAGACCCGACCCATTGATAGGCCTAAATGGGGGGTGCGCTTAGAATCCCAAAAGAATAAGATGCAGAGAAGCATTGGGCGAGAGGCATCTGACATTCAATCTGACATGTGGCAGACAGTCAAAACTAACCGTATTTAGTTTACTGTGTTTGTTTTGCATTTTTTTACAATTGCAGTTTCGGAAGAGTAAGCAAGGCAGGCAGGCAAAACTAATAATCTACACCGTGGGATCCACTTAATGGTGATCCGAACTGTCCACTTTTTTTACCGGGATCATGGTTTTTCAAAAAGTGTTCCCATTGGGCGGAAAAAGTAGCCTAGGATTGTGAATTTGTATCTTACCTTTTCCTCCCACTTTATAAATCTATATACGTAGGCTTTGTTTGCAAACAATTAATTTAAGTGCTTTTGGCTTTTTTTTAAAGAAAAAATCACTTATTTTACCGTTTGTACAGAGCCGTAGTACTCCGTTTGTATTTGAAGTTTATTTAAACTTCAACCCTTTCAACATCATTTTCAATCTACCACAAAAACAATAATTGAATCCAAATAAGATGTTAGAAACTTAATTACGGGTATTTTTTATTAAAATTGTTTAATTATTATTTTCACATATTATAGTCTAAATGCACAAATTTACCTAATAAGGCCTCAATCATCCGAAATGCAATCAAACAATGTCAGGAGTTGTAAAATTCACCACGAGTTACTAATTAAATAGATAGAATATTAATATTCACATTACTCTTTGACATTTTTTGACTCATTTAATAAAATCCCCCAATTCTATCGAATCACGGCACAATCATCCGAAATGCAATTAGACTATATCATGAACCCGGGTTGTAAAATTGATCACGAGTTGCTAACTATATATATAGAATATAATTGATCAAAATTCATCACAAATTACTTAATATATAAATATAATATTAATATTCACACTTGTGTTTGACATTTTTTTGACTAGAATATTCTATGATAGAATAGTTCCCTACATTTGCTTTTGTCACAATATTTTATGATAGAATAGTAAACGTAGTGAATAATGTAGAAAAAGTAGCAGAAGATGTGTAAAAGTATGAAAGAAAAGATAAAAAGTAGATATAGTAAGAGTAATTGAGTATTTTCTAAAGGATAAACTTACTTAAATTGAAATTTAAAGTGAAAGGAACCTTTAAATACGGAGGAAGTTGTTGGAATGATATCTAACCAAGAATGGCAATCCGCATCCTTTTTCTTGGCCAATTAGGGTGGAGTTTCACCATCCCTACAATTGTTTTCAACCAATAAAAGAGAAAGAACCCAAAAAAGAAAAATAGTAGAAGCATCATGGATGTATATGCTAGCTGACATCTCACCATCTTAAGTGGTCCCACCGCTGACACTTCTTACCACCAGCACAGAACAACCAATTCCAAAATGGGAATAAAAAATTAAAAACTACTCCTATGTATCTTTAACCAGCACTTATATGTGAGGTATTAATTAACATCATCACGACAAAAATTGAATGTATTTAACTCATTTAGATTCATTTAGTATTTTAGTTTTAAAAATATTTTTATCATAAATATTTTAAATCGACACTCAAAATCGACAAAACATACCTATAATGATTGGTTTTGTTAATTTCGATTTTAACATTGATGTTTATTGTGAGAGAAGATATTTTTAGTCTAATTCAAATGTTTAGAGGGATTGAAGGGAATTTTTAATTGGAATGGGTTTTCTAATTCAAATGCTTAAATTAAGATTTTTTTCTTTCTTTTTTTCAAATTTTTAAGAAATTTTTGCAAACATTACTAAAGTAAACTAATTTATACAAATATGACTAATAATTAATATAATAATGTAGTCTCCTAATAACTTAAGTTTAAAAGTTGAAAATAAATTACTATTATTCCATTATTACTTTAGTCAATAATCATTTTTTTTGCAAACAATCTAAATTTTAGCCACATATATGTAACTAGCTTTCAAGCCCGTGCGATGCACGGACAATATGTAATTTAGCTAATTTGGAATTTAATTTCTATCGGATCACATATAATGTCATTTAAAAGAAAAATAAACTTAGTCTAACATAGAGTCTGTTTGATAATGCTAAAGTAAATAGAATTAACTTATTTTGCTGAAATTGATTGAATTCTGGTTAAATAGGTGGAATCTCCTGAATAATGAAAAATATATTTGAAATATATTCCATTTGTGAAACAAAGAAAAAAATATGAAAAAGTTAAATTGGTCTTTTACATAAGCATCTCAAGTAAACATAATTGTTATGAACCAAATAATAAAAAAATTCTATATTTCTTAATTGTTAGATCTTACAGTTTACTCATTAATAAGAACGTTTTTAATTGAATTAAAATTTCGGGTTTGATTTGGTATGAATTAATATGGTCTATTAGATGTCTGTTTTTTATGTGACTTATTGTTATAATTATTAAAGTTTGATCTGATCTGATCTAATCTGGAACTAAAATCAATCCAATTAAAAACATTCTATTAAAATAAAAGTAGGAATCCGTAAACCTATAAAGATTTTCTAATTTGGATTAGGAATCTATTTCAAAAGTGAAGGCATATTTGAATTTTAGGTGTAAAATAAAGAAACAACAAAAAAAATTACTTATTTGGCTAGGCTAAACGTATTTACTTGTGAAAATATATATACTTTATGTTGGTTATAATTTTTTATTTCATTTTTAATTATTTACTTATTTGAAGCTTACTAATTTATTAATAGGTGTCAAATTAATAAGTAAACTAATTTGCATATTTGTTTCTATTTAATTCGGTTTAGTAAACTAATATAAATTAGTTTCCATATCAATAAACGTTATTAGAATTTCACTTTGATAACCAAAAATTATTTTACTTATTTGAAGGTTACCGAATTAATTAAGGTGGATTTATAAGGATTTTTATTTCCATATCAATATGCAATCAAAAATAGAATCTAATAAAAACAAAAGGTATAAAAATAAGTAAATAATTGTTATATATAATGACATGGCAGGATTATGTGGCGCTTTGTATGCTCTTAAAAAGTTCCTCTTATATATATATTGATTGATTATCTTTTTTAAAAACATGTCTTTAGTTAAGAACAACAAAATTAAATTACAAATTCATTTATTTTACATCAAAATGTTTGACTCTTC